TTCCTGGCTGCTCCCGACCTCCCCCCTCTCTCCTCCTCGCTCTGCTTGCCTTTCCCTGCCCTGCCTGAGGGCGCCCTGAGGAGACTCTGCTCTCCTTTTTGACCAGGCGAGGTGGAAAAAAGGGGGGAAAGTCTCTTCCCGCCCCCTCGCCAGACTCCCTGCTCGGCTCGGCTCACTACCCAGGCGGCCAGTGGAGAGAGTCTTGAGCCGCTTAATTCCCAGCAAGGAATTAGCAGGCTCGCTCCACCTCCTCCTCCTCCTCCCGACTTTGCTGCTGCTGCTGCTGCGCGGCTTTTTTCCTCTACTGACGGCACGCTGTGCCTTGGAGAGGTTCCCGCTTCCTCGAGGGGGGCCGGCCAAACGCGCCCCCCAAAATGTTGCGCCCGGTGCGGCCGGCACCCCTGGCACCCCCCACGCTACGCCACTGGGTAGAAGGTCTGTGTGAGAGAGTAGTTCCCAAACTGTTTTGAGCAACCACCCCTTTGGTTCCACAAACTCGTGGAGATCCAGTTAACGTCAGGGAATGGTCTGGATCTGAAGATTGGGGAATGCAGTTGCAGGCAGATCAATTCCTCTCAGAAGAGGAGGGGGAATACAAACACACACACACACACACACACACACACACACACCTCCAGCGTTTTCAGAAGCAGAGAGAGAGGCATACATAGACACAGAAGCTGAACAGTTTAGGGAGGAGTTACCCAGCTACGAGATAATGACAAGAGATCCAGAAGGGAGGGGGCAGCTGGGAGACACATCAGTTGAGAGTATGGGGAAACCCCCCTCCCCAGGGACTCAGAGGTCCAAACGTATCAGAGAACATAGGAGGCTGAGAGGGGGAGGAACTTCCCATTGGCACGCTCCTTGCTGCGGAAGTCAGAAGGAGGATTCAGAGTAGGCAACTAATCTTGCGGAAGGTTTTCTGTTTGTGCTTGCAACATGATGCTGTAATAAAAGGACTATAAATCTATCAACTGCTCGTTAATTCTTATCTGTGAGCTACTGAAGGGTGAAGGGAACTCCCACACTTGACATTTAAGTGGAATGTTGGAAGATTAAGATGGATAAAAGGAAGTCCTTCCGCTGCGTGCAGTTAAACTATGGAATCTGCTCCCACAGGGGGTGGTGATGGGTTCCATCTTGGATAGATTGAAAAGAAGATTGGACAAATTCATGGAAGATTAGGCTATTGACAACAAATTCAAAACAGTAGCCATTAATTGCACATTTATTCAAAATCCAATTAAAACAATTTAGTTACGGTAAATAATTGAACAAAATTGATGATCCAATGATACCAGTTTTTCAAAGTCTGATGGTACACTGCCAGCACCCCGATTCCTCTTTGTGCTCCCCTAAATAATCCCACGGCCTCCCAGGGGATGGTAGCGCTCACCTTGGGAATCACTGGTGTGAGGCCATGAGCCAGAGTTTCTGTGATCGACATGTAGAAACAAGTTTCAGCCCACAAAGCTGTTTGTTTATTGACTATTTTTTTTTATACTTAGTACAATTACTGCACATATGTCAAATCATAAGCAAAAAATAAGGTAGGTCCCTCCCGCGAGGAGCTTACAGTTTGAAATTTGATTACAAGAGAGGAAAATATATATCCTAAAAATGGTTTGGATCCTGTTTTCTGGAAATAATGCTTGCTTTCATATAGGGCTGTATCAAACCACCCCCAAATTAGTGGTTCATCCAGTTTTGGAGGTGCAATTTTGGAGAGGGATGGGGGTTGAAGAACACACACGCACCCCACTCAAAACTGCAGCCCCAAACAGTAACCAAAATGATGCTTCCAGGTCCACTACCTGCAAGAGATAGGTGAATTTAGAATAGCTCTTTTCTTTCACTCTCCAGATCCCTTGTTGCTCTTCCTTCCTGCATTTTAGGTGGGGTTGGTCAAGATGATCCTCAGGGTCCCCCAACTTTATCATTCTGTTATTCCAAGCAGTGTCTGCTGGAAACCTTTTGACCTGGTAGGGCTGCTATTTTTAACCCTGCCGTTTTCATCCCAGTAGGACTTGTAAAGCAGTTATTTAGGAAAGTGTGCCGTTATACACGTGCAGAGTGCTACTGTCTCCTCCTCTCTGAAAAAACGACCCACCAGATTCTCTGCACATCTTTGGACAGGGATAGAGGGTCTATGCGCGAGGGCTCAAGTATGATTTTCAGACAAGATTGACTCCACAACTCTTATTCGGAAATTGAGCCTTATCAGATGACATAAGTTTCTGAATCCATGTATTCACCCGTTGCCAAAAAAACCCGCAGATATAAATGTGAGGAAAATTTTATTCCCATTGCATGCAGAACCCCCCCCCCAAAAAAAAAACCTCCGGGGGGAAATCAGTTTAACTATTCATTATCCAAAACATTAAAAGAACAAAGAATTCCAAGCCAGGGGCTGGGGGAGATTATTTCCCTTGAGCCAGGACACATCAGAGCATAGCAGAACATATTTGCAGTTCCTGACTCAGTCCTGAAAATGCGGCATAATAATCTCTGTTCATGTACAGGGTTCCTCATGCCAGGTGATTTAATGATAAAAAAAGATATTTAATATAGAAAGAGACTCACAATTGCTTGCTTGCTTGCTCTCTCTCTGTCTGTCACAAAACAAATACTAAACTAACCCCCCCCCCAGCTCTTCAAAATAGGATTGTTGTTTTTCTGGCTTTCAAGGAAACAACTCTAAAAAAGGTAAAAGACTCCTGGACGGTTAAGTCCAGTCAAAGGTGACTGTGGGGTTGTGGCTTTCAAGGAAATAGCTCTGAGCATGCTCAGAAGCAGTGTATGATTCTGATAGCCTAATGCAAGCACAGAGGGCTGCTTTTGAAGCATCTCCTACATCTGTTGTAGTGGTTGTGTTGAACAGGTCCCATAGCAACAGACAGAGTAAGAGCTTTTCTAATAGGGCTGACTTTCTGGCAGTCTGATCAGTCACACGGTTTTCCAGTTTAGAGACGGATAGGAAGGACCTCTAGCTATATTTCGGGATTAGGACTGGCTGAGTGATGTGGAGAGCTGATTGGCCAGAGAACAGAAGATGGACAAAAATGCCTCTGTAACTTCGAGGAAGTATAAAACATGTGTGGGACAAGTAGTAGTGTGTGGCTTTGAGTTTTGGAGGAGGAATTTTAAAAAAACAAACCCTGTTTGACATTTTCAGTGGGAGAGATGTTGCAGTTATCCCAGTGGACTAGCCTCCACTGCCATTAAGGTCTTCAGAGGAAGTTCCAACTCACACCCTATCTCAGGTTAGCTTGATGAGTATGAGCAGCAGGGGCTTCTCTGTGGTGGCACCTTGGCTCTGGAAATCCCTTCCTGAGGACTGAAACCCTTTCTTTTTTGGGGTTTTGTAAAGAGTCTTTTTACAGTGTATTTGTTTCTGCCTGTGGAATATGAGTCTTGTTGACGTTTATTTTATTACTTTTATTGCTTGTTTTTTGGGGTAATTTTGTAATATTTTGACTCTCTGTATGTGCGTGTTTTAATGTTTCCATGAGACAATTTGGAGGATGTCAGATAGAAAAGTGGTTCAGTAATGCTTGGGTTACCTTATAAATAATATAAATCAACACACTCCTGTGTATTGGTGATGGCCTGAGTGCTAGCCAATATGTGCCAGCATAGTGTATATTGGCCCTTATGGCTTACCTTACTAGGAATTGCCTGAGTTGACTCTCACTCAGGCCATGGGTTTTTTGGTTCTAGTTCTGGAGTGCTGTTTGCAGCCTGCCGCACAGCCAGTGACGTAGCGTGGGGGGTGCAAGGGGGGCCGGCCGCACCGGGCGCAACATCTGGGGGGGGGGCGCGCTCGCTGCCTCCGGAGTCGCCGAAGAGCCTCGGGCGCAGGCTGTAGCAGAGCCCCACGTCTCGCGGGACCGACGAGCTGGCAGCGGCTCTCAGCGCTCGCTGCGGTCCCCGCGCGTCAGGGCCTCGGAGGGCGCGCCAGGCAGCCCCTCCTCACAGTCCCGCCGCCATGTTGCATTTTCCTCGCCTCTCTGCCCTCCTCCTCCTCCGGGCAAGCGGCGTCATTTGGGCGGCAGCGCCAGCGGCAACACGCCTCAGATCACCTGATGCGGCAGGTTAGGGGTTAGGGGGCGCAAATTACTTGCCTTGCCCCGGGTGCTGACAACCCACGCTACGCCGCTGCGCACAGCATCTTTTTCCGTTCAGCTTGCTGCCGTTAAAGTTCTTGTGGGTTATGCATCCTCTGCATGACCTTCTGCTCATGATACATTTTGGCCAGATTTTCTCAATCCAAGCTGTATTTCCCACCCGGGTGCGGAATAGTGATGTTTGTACTGAGCACACCTCAAAGTGGAAGTGCGTGTGAAAGAAGGAGGACTAGTCTAATCTGCAGGTGGAGCTGGGAAGACCTGATTTTGTTTGCTGTGAGAATCCAGTGCAACGGCATTGGGGAGCCCCTGCTCCCAAACCTAATGGTGGCTGGTTGGAGTGTCTGTGGGCATGTTAATGCTGTGAGCCTTTCAATTTTATACTCGGCCCGTATGTATAAATAAAATCATATACTGTATTACAGCGTCTCTAGTGACCTTCATTCTTATGAAACCTGAGGTATTGCAATCCCCGAGATCCCTATAATTATCACTATTATTTACACCATTCTCAACAGAAAGTGCTCAGGGCGGTGAACAAAATCATGAAATATAATGCAGACCAAAAACAGATAGACAAACAGACTTCAAAGCAGTATCAATACAACCAGCACCGCCAGTAGAAAAAAACATAACGAGGACAAAAAAGATGTCATTTATTTAATTATATATTTAATATGTGTCACTTAATGCGTCAAATCTGTGTCATTTATTTATTTAAACAGATTTCTATCCTGTCTTTTCATTTGAGTGCTAAAAGCATCTCACAATAAAAACCACATATCAGGTGACAGTAATGTAAGTAATATGTGTATATATATTTGTAAAAATGCTCTCAATTTCTCTCTCTCCTTTTCTCAATCATTCAAGGGTTTGGAACTCCATTTAACATTGATGTGAAAAGACCTCAGATCTTCCGTGGCCCACAGGAAGCCCAGTTTGGGTACAAAGTCCTTCAGTACACAGCCCAGGGGCAGAAATGGTAAGTCAAGGCTGGTTAAACCTAACCTGCAATAGCTGTTTTGAATATGACCATTCCTCTCTTTTTTATAGATTGCCACCAAAACTTACACGTACGTGGAAGCTTAAAACCACAGCCTCAGCCTCTTGTTCAATTATCCAGAAACCTGAGGGAAGACATGTCCTTCCAGGGCCAGCCCTACTATTAGCCAAAGTGAGCTGACTGACTCAGGCAGCTAATTTCCAGTGTCATGGAAGGGCAGCCTACTTGCTGCTTACTTTTTAAATTTTAACATGTTATTATTTCATAAAAGTGTGCTGCATTTTTACTGCTGCCAGGGAGGGGAAGATATGCTGATGGGATTATCTTTAGGCCTCAGGTGCCAAAATAACTTGGCCAGCCTTTGACACTGCAATTTGATGGGCGGTGAGTGGTGAGTGGAGGATTTCCTGCTCCACCACAGGGAGCAAATTGTCTTAGGCCCGTTCTGTCTACAAATATATTTTTTGTGGGGTTGGAGGGGCAGTTATATTGCTCCATAGGAGGGAGGCAAATTAGCACTTTGAGTGCCAAGGCGTGGGGTGGAGTTTGCCTGTACCCTCTCACAGGTTGGGGGAAAAATTGAGGGAATTCTTTGCATCCGTCTTTATAGTGGAAAATTTAGGGCAGATTCCCAGTGCCTGAACTAACAACTTGTGCAGGAAGGGAGTCTGAGGAACTGAGGCAGATAGCGGTGATGAGATGAATCTAGGCCTAACAGACACAATGAAAACTGACAAAAGTCCGGATGGAATCCACCCTAGAACTCAAACGTGAATTTCCTAATCATCTAACAAAAATATGTAACTTGGTCCCTGAGATCAGCCTCCACACCTGAGAACTGGAAAGAAGACAGTGTAACACCAATTTTTAGAAAAGGAAACTGGAGGGATCCTTTGAAATTACAGGCTAGTTAGCTGGATGTCTGTCCTGGGAAAATATTGGGGTCTGCTGACCCCAAGTGTGCACCAGCTCTGAAAATGATCTGAACTAGGGGTTGTTAGGACAGGATTTGAAAAATAAAACTGCCAATATCATTATGCTGTTATATAAATCTACGGTGCGACTGCACTAGGAATACTATGTGCAGTTCTGGTTGCCTCCCTTCCAAAAGGATATTGTAGAGCAGGAGAAGGTTTCAGAAAAAAAAGCCGCCAGAATGATCAAAGGGATGAAGCGACTCTCCCATGAGGAAAGGTTGCCACGTTTGGGACTTTTAATTTAGAGGAATGGCCCAAAAGAAGTGACATGATAGAAGTTTATAAAATTATACGTGGCATGCAGAAAGTGGTTAGAGAAAAGCTTTCCCCCCTCTCATAACATTAGAACCTAGTGGTCAATAACCCAGGTAATAAACTGAAATAGTTATGATGATCATGATGATAAAGATGATTCCTTAAGCATCTCTAGATATATCTCTAAGGGGCGATTTTGAGTGGAAATTTTTACAGAGACTAGGGTATGTGCTGAAACATTCAGCGTTCCTTTTCTAGTGGCAGGGGGTGCAGGGAGACTATCTGAATGAAGGCTTTGGCTTTGAGGCCAAGGATCTCAGGAATGAATCAGGCAATGATTTCCTGACAACTTGTGGTACCTCGAAATCTGTCTTCCCCCACCACACCCTTGATGCCTAAATGCAGGTCTAAAAACAGCCCCCTGTTGCTCGTTTCTGCCTTTCCTCTGAGGCAGCTTCCACCTCTTCTCTGGCTTCCAGACCTCAGTCCTGCGTCAGTCCTGAATCAGAAAGGGAAATTCCGAGCTGCACCAATGATTTCCCCAATTGTACATCCGCTGGACTTGTTAAAGAACAAGAGAACAAAAGGGAACTGTTGGCAGCACTCGTGCACTTGAGAATAATTCACAGATGGAGAAGAAATTCAGTATATGCCAGACTTCCATATGCTGCCATTAAGGGTGGCCAGGGAACTGGGTCCAAAGATCACATGAAACACAGAGGCACTCAAGAAGAGCCTCTGTGTGCAGCCGCCATAGCTGCTGGTGGGTGTTTGGAGCGTCCCCTGATGGCTCAGAGCCACATGGAGGCTGTCCTGCTGAATGGGTTCACCAGATGTCTGGCCTCCTTAGCTTGAAATGATGCTGTGGGGGAGTTGGAAATAGGATGTCTCATGAATTTATGTTATCAGGGAGACTTGAGCTTTTGACCTGAAAATGGGATTCAGTGTGGGACGCGGGTGGCGCTGTGGGTTAAACCACAGAGCCTAGGACCTGCTGATCAGAAGGTCGGCGGTTCGAATCCCTGCGATGGGGTAAGCTGCTGTTGCTTGGTCCCTGCTCCTGCCAACCTAGCAGTTCAAAAGCACGTCAAAGTGCTAGTAGATAAATAGGTACCGCTTCAGCGGGAAGGTAAACGCCGTTTGCGTGTGCTGCTCTGGTTCGCCAAAAGCGGCTTAGTCATGCTGGCTCCCCCAGCCATTAAAGCGAGATGAGCGCCGCAACCCCATTCGGTCATGGTCAGGGGTCCCTTTACCTTTACCTTAAGGTTTGCCAACTGATCCAGGCCTTCTCTTGTGGTGTAGAAAGGTTTCTCAGCTGGAGATGATGCTTGTTATTCTCTGCTGGTGCTATCCACACTGTTAAAGCTGCGTAGAAATTGTAGAGTTGGTTAGGGACCTAAGAGGTCAGCATCTTGTTCAGCCGCCTGCATTGCAGGAACCGCAGCTGCAAGATCCATTTGAACAGTTGGGCAGCATTTCCTGGAGTCAGAGCATAGCTGTGACGGCTAGTAGTCGTTGATATAGCCTTTTCCATGAATTTGTCCCATCCTCTTTTAAAGCCGTCCAAGCTGGTGGGCCTTTTCTGCCTCCTGCAGGAGGTTAAAGTCTGCTCCTCCTGCAGTGATTACCGTATTTTTCGCCCTATAGGACACACTTTCCCCCCTCCAAAAACGAAGGGGAAATGTGTGTGTGTGTGTCCTATGGGGCGAATGCAGGCTTTTACTGAAGCCTGGAGAGCGAGAGGGGTCGGTGCGCACCGACCCCTCTTGCTCTCCAGGCTTCAGGAAGCTATCCACAAGCCTTGGGAGCCCGCGGGAGTTCCTGCCGGGCTCCCAAGGCTTGCAGACAGCAGCCTGCAGCCTGAAACCCGGGGAGCGCAGCGGAGCGCGCCCCGGGCTTCAGGCAGATATCCGCAAGCCTGTTCTGGGGGCTGGGGTCAGGGGAAGCTCGGGCTTCCCCCGCCCCAGCCCCGTGCCTGGAGGGGGGGGGAGAAGAATATTTTTCTTTATTTCCCCCCCCCAAAAAAAACCTAGGTGCACCCTATGGCCCGGTGCGCCCTATAGGGCGAAAAATACGGTAATTCAACTTCTGCTGATGCATTTAAACTCCCAACAGCACAGGGTGGGTTTTGATGTAAAAATACAAAATAAGATCACAAAATACCTAACAACCCCCCCCAAAGAAAACAAACCAATAACCCCCTCCCACAGACACATTTAAAAGGCCATGGATTGTTTAATCAGCCAAAGGCCTGGTTACAGAGAAACCTTTTCGTCTGGTGCCTAAAGATATGTAATGGAGGCGGCTGGTGAGCCTCCCTGGGGAGAGGACTCTACACAGTGGTGAAGGAAGGAGGTGCAGTAGGTGCAGGCCACCCTGGGTGCCACCACTCAGGGGGTGACCAAATGCTGGGTGGCACTCACTGCGGGGCCTTCACGTCTCTCCTGGGAGAGACGCGGTGATTTCGGCACACGCAGGCTCCGCGCTGCCCAAATGGTTCACCCGCTTCCTCCCCCCAAACCAGCTGTAGGGCGGCTGAGTGGAAGGAGGCAGGCAGACTCCTGAGGCCCCAGAGTGTGCCCTGCTCCTATGGGTGGTGCGCCCCACCCCTAGGCATGCCGCCCCAGGCGCCCAAGTGGCTTCCTCCACCACTGACTTTACAAGTGGGGATCCACTGCAGAAAAGGCCCATTCTCGTGTTGCCACCCTCCAGACATTTTGTAGAGGGGGCACATGAAGAAGGGCCTCAGAGGATGAACACAGGCTCTGGGTTTCTTCACAGAATCTTACAGTTGGGACCCCAAGGTGCATCTAGTCTAATCACCTGCAATGCAGGAATCTCAGCTAAAGCATCCATGACAGATGGCCCTTCAACCTCTGCTTAAAAACCTCCAAGGAAGGAGAGTCCACAACCTCTCAGGGAATTCTCTTCTATTGCTGAACAGCTCTTTTTTCCGAATGTTTAGTCGGAATCTCCTTTCTTGCAACTTGAAGCCGTTGGTTCAAGTCCGACCCTCCAGAGTGGGAGAAAACAAGCATGCTCGCTCCTCCATTGTGATGACAGCCCTTAAGACATTTGAAGATGGCTATCATATCTCCTCTCAGTCTCCTCTTTTCCAGGCTAAACACACCCTGTTCCTTCAAGTGCTCCTCATGAGCCTTAGTTTCCAGACCCTTGATCATCATGTGTTATATACTCAAACCATCTTGGGGGCAACCTGGCCTGCTGAATTCATTTCACTGATGAGGAGTGGGGCTGACACGCAGTTGCATCTTTTGATACCTCCAGATATTGTAATATGATAGAACATTGGGGTGATAAGCTAAATCCCAGGCAGCACCTTCAGAGGAAAACTGTGGGGAATGCCCTACTTCCCCATAATATATTTCCATTGTATTACCAAAATGAAGGAGGAATCTGTGAGCTTGCTGGCGATGAGGAATCCAGGAATCAGATGCAAAGCTTCACATGATCACTCTGTTTCCCATGGAAAAGGCATCTCAGAGTGGGCGATGGAGCTGCTGAGTTTGGGGGGGACTGCAGTGAGAAAGAGGGGCATTGTTTTGGAAACACTTTCAAACCCCTTCCCAAACCAAGAACTGGGTTCTCCAAAGCCAACACTTTGGGGGGGAGGGTGTGCCAGTAACGTATTAGGGATGCCTCCCTTTCCTTTCTCCTGCTTCTTTCCAGAATCGTTGAGTGAGTAGACGAGGTGGTGAGAATAGACCCCCTGGGAAAGGGGATGGACAAAATGAAGGGTGGGGGGAGGAATGAGAGAGGGGAAAATGAGCAGGAGGAAGGAAATGCAAGAGAAATGGGCCTCCCTCTTCCTTTCCCTCTCCTGCACAAACCTCCATCCAACTCTGTCCTGCCAAATTTCACAGTTCATCATCTAGTTTTCAGTACAGTAATAGTAATACGGTGCTTTAAAAAATAATAATCCAAACTACTCTCCCTCCCCCCCTTTTTTTTTGGGCAAGATGTGATTTCCCTCACAACAATCCTGCGAGGTAATGCAGCACATTCACTCTACCATTTTACAGATACAGTGCTAGAATAGAGGGGGATGGCTACTTGTTTGATAGGGCCGCTGCCTCCTTCTCCTCTTTTCTGGGGCAGCTCCTAAAAAGCTGCATGGGGTGCATCAGTTGACAGTGTTTTTAGTGTTGAATAGTGGCTAGACATGGCAGACGACACAGCGATTTCTCCAAAGCAGCTCTTTATTTTGTAAGCTGGAACAGAAACTGAACAGCAAACAGCTCAGCCGGCCTGCTTTTATAGGCAGCCAGCTATCAACATTGTAGCAACAACAACCCAGGGTTTCCCGCCTAAAATAACTGACGTGGACCTGAGTGAAAACTATCTACAGTATCCCCCTGCTGGCCCAGGGTGAGAACTTCAGTACATAACATTTATAACCCTTAAAAGCCAGAGAATCAGTCACTAACATGAACCCATGACTCCTAATTCCATGTGAAACTCCCGTTGCAAAGAACCATGTTTTACCTGCAAAATTATGCCACAATACTCCAGAAAACAATATACAAATATTGGCGTGGTTTCATGTTACTGTGGCTTTTAAATCATTTAATGGCATCAGGCAAGATTTTCAGCACCTGCTGAAAACATGTTTGTTTAGACATGCCTATCCAGAATGTTGACATGTTTTTTTTAGCTTACCGTTGATTTTAATTATTATTTGAATGTTATGAATTGCTGTTTTAATCTGTGTTTTATTGAGGGGGTTTTTTAAACCGCTTTGAGTTTTCATTTTATTTTTATAGTCAAGTGGTTTATACATTTAATGAAATAAAGAAATCTCAACAGGATGCTGGTGGGGGCACCTTGGGATGGGACGGCAGATGACAGAAAAGGTGACGTTTACAAGTGCATTGTGGGAGAGAGGAACAACTCCACGTGTGCCAAAGTCAACATTGGTAGGTAATGACATCTTTGCTGGGAAGTACTTGCCCTGCCTCTCCCCCATCAGTTTCAGAACTCATACTGTTGCTGGGATTGGATGGCTTAAAGGTTTTATTCACTAAGTTAGCACAGTTTCCAAAAAATGAGTCTAGACGTTGCAAGTACATGAGGCACAGCAGGTAAGCTAAGATGTTCCAAAAATTGGGGGGTCAGGGGCTGGACTGAGGAGAAATTGTGGGAACTGCCCCTCCCCTTCCTGCACCTTCCCTAGAAGAGGAGGACAGTATAGATTTAGAACAGTGGTTTGCAGAAGGTCATAGTTCAGAGGCTGCAGGAGGGAGAAGCTGGGAAATATTGGGAGAGCAGCAGGGGATAGACAGCTAACAGACTGAAGTGTCTCTTGAAAGCATTCCTGACCCCCCCCTTCTCCCAGAACAAGGCGTGCCTTGAGAGTAATAGAAAGCACAGATCAGCCGGCGCAGGGGTGATGTAGAATAGGAGGGACTGAGAGGGTGGGACTTGGAGCAACGCCATTAACTAAGAGAGATAGCATTCCTTCGTCTCTCTCTGTGAATATTGAATAAACTACTTGGTAAGAATTCTTCGTGTTTTTTCCACTTCTTGGCATCCCACCGTGAGAGGGATAAGATTCCTGGAAGCCTTGACACACACCCTGTCCTTCCTTTTCGAAGAGAGGGACAAATACAGCTATTTGAAAAGTTGAGCTTCTGAGCCTTGAGAGACTGGGCAAGCAATTGGGCACTGAGTGCGCAGTGACTGGCCCAAAGTCTCCATGAGGGTTAAGCACGCATGGTCTGTTCATGCTGGCACTGTGTCCCTGGATTCATAGACTCATAGAATTGTGGAATTGGAAGGGAGATGGAGCAGAGACAGCAGGACCAGCACACTGTTTAATTTATTGTCAGGTTCCCTGATTTAGGGCTTGTTGTACCCTTCTGTGACCATCCTTAATAAATCCTGAGTCTTGCAGCAGAATTCATGGGGGGTTTGGGGGAGGCAAGGGCAGGCGTACATCACGGAGGAGGGTTTTAATGTACAGGGTAGCTATTACCTCTCATTCCAGTCCCAGCCATGATCCGATGCCAGGCTCATATTTTTGTATGTGTCCTTCCCCCCCCCCCTTCCACGTCCTCTTCTTACTTCTCTTCCTCCCCCACCCTCTTGCTGGCCTCTTGTGAACTAAAATTAGGTGACATGGCCCTGCAGAACAACTCCAGGCAAATCAAAAACATGCATTTTGGAATGTCGCTTGTGGCCAACAAAGATGACGGGTTTGTGGTGAGCAATATTTGCGGTGTCTTTTTCTGTATTTAAATTGAAAACACAAACAGAGACAGATGCACAAAAATGAGATCTAGGAAAGGCTGCTATTACTTCAGTGGAAGCCAGGTGAACCGTAAGGCTAGGGTCCCCAACATGGCCCCATATTTTATTTCTAAAATGAAGTTTTGTTTGTTTGTTTGAAAGAGGGGGTGTCTGCCATTTTGGTCTGTCTTTCATTTATTTTGGTATGTGTATTTTGCCTTTTGGAGGATAGATTCACATGCATCTGGGGCATCAGTTTATATATGATATCTCCATCAGTCGTCAGTCAAGAGGCTGGTCCCATTCCTTGCATTCAAGCACTGAATTTGTGGTAGCCGGAGGGTTTTGCAACCTGGCTTTGCAAAAAACATTTTGTCATTTTTACCAAAGATAATGAAAAGACATAGAACAGTTCATTTACTAGGGAAGAAAGAAGTGCATGCATGCATCCTGCAAACAGGATGCAGGGTGTGTTTTGGAAAAAGCAGAGTGAAGAAACAAAAATTAGGGATTTTGATGGTACTGTTCCCATTCACCCCACCTCCAGTCTCAGCAAAGCTCCTATGTCTTTTAGGAGCCCTGTGGTGTGCTGAAAATCAACAGGCAAGGCAATTCAGTAGCAGAATGGAGCAAGGTTGACAAAAATGTTGCCTTGGATATAGTCAGGATCTATTTATATTTTTTAAAGTAGCGTATTTCAAGAATCCTTATTGTGGTTATTTTGTCGTGTCTCATGATAGCTACGGCAATTTTATTGTCACATGACTGACAACAAGCCCGTTGTTGTCAATGGACAAACAACCCATTTAATTCCTACTAAGCAAGGGATTTAATGTGTAGGAGGGTCGTGGCCTTGAAAACGAGAAACCGGCAACCTGGGAGAACCATTGTGCAGAGTCTCAAACGTGGCCCCTGATGGAAAGGCAGAGATTGTGAAAGCTCTGCTTGTCGTGTTTCTGCCTGCCAAAGACTTGCAAGTAACAGCGGGGTGGGGGCCCCCTTCTTTAATGGAGGTGTGCCTGTAAAGATCACAGCTGCCGCCAACGCTGGCACACCCAAAGGAGCTTAATTCCTTCCCTGAACAGCTGGCCAGGGAGGCTGTGGCTGGTATCTAGGGCAGCTTGGCTGGGCGTTCCCTGCAAGCAGAGGAGGCCGTTAGCTGCTGCTTGGCTGGCTGGCATTTTTGTGGTGAGGCTCTTGTTTACTCTCAAAGCCCGCCTGAGCATCTGTTTGAAGCTGGCCTGAGGGCAGCGAGGCCCCGAAAGCGGCTTGAGCAGGACAGCCTTTCAAAGCAGTAAATGAACACTGAGGGGAGCTACAGTTGTTGGTAATGGGACTGAGTCCCGCAGCCCTGACAAGGTTTCCCGAGATGGGACCTGTGAAAAAATGGAATGAATAACTAAATATTCAAAAGTTTTGCACTGGGAAACTTGGAATTCCACAGCCTGTATAATGAATTACATATGTGCCAGCTGTCCCACTTTATCGGGGACAAGCCCTGTTTTTTAATCCGTGTCACTGGTGCAAGAACCGGCCTTTAAACCAGAAATTCCCAAACCTCTTTGGGCTATTTCCCCTTTGGTTCACTAAACTCAACCCCGGTGTCCCCTATAAAAAAAAGCACCATTCACTAAGGAAGGCGATAACACAATAAAATTCAAAACAGTAACAATTAGGGCTCATCCAAACTTGATTTTGTGCCACGAAACAGCTCTGCGCTTTAAAGTGGAAAACCCAAATTGCTGCTTATTCTAATTCAGTGGGTTTTCACGAAGAAAGCGCCATGTGTGTGTGTGTGTTCGGACACAGCACTTTAAAGCACAGACCTGTGCCTAGGAAGCACAGGGAAAAAGGTAATTGTGGATGAGCCCTTAGTTGCTCATTTATTCAAAACCCAGTTAAAACTATTTACTGTATTTTTCCGTCTATAAGATACCCCCATGTATAAGACGCCCCCTATTTTGGGGGACTTCGATTTAAGAAAATGGGGAGGAGATACTATCCATGTATAAGACGAGCCCAGATTTTGAACATTATTTTAGAGTAAAAAAATATAGTCTTATACACGGAAAGTCAGGACACGGGTGGCGCTGTGGGTTAAACCACAGAGCCTAGGACTTGCCGATCAGAAGGTTGGCGGTTCGAATCCCTGCAACGGGGTGAGCTCCCGTTGCTCGGTCCCTGCTCCTGCCAACCTAGCAGTTCGAAAGCACGTCAAAGTGCAAGTAGATAAATAGGTACCGCTCTGGCGGGAAGGTAAACGGCGTTTCCATGCGCTGCTCTAGTTCGCCAGAAGCGGCTTAGTCATGCTGGCCACATGACCTGGAAGCTGTATGCCGGCTCCCTCGGCCAATAAAGCGAGATGAGCGCCACAACCCCAGAGTCGGTCATGACTGGACCTAATGGTCAGGGGTCCCTTTACCTATATACGGAAAAGTATGGTAGCTTAATTAATTCAACAAGATGGATTAACTTGATCCAGTGATACCAGCTTTTCAAAGTCTGAGAGTCATTGACACCTCCAGCGCCCCCACCCCACCCCTTTGCCTCTTAGCTCCCCCCCCAGGTAATCCCCACTGCCCACAGGGGGCAGTATCACCCACTTTTAACCCCTCCTGCTTGTACCCAAAACTCTCTCAGATTCTGAACATGCTAAGAATTGTCTGGCAAAAGAGAACAGGAAGCTGCCTGACTATTGGTCTATCTAGCTCAGTAAAGTCTGGCGGCAACACTCCACTTAAACCAGTTTGTGTCTCCTCTCCAGTGTAGCTGGGCAGGTTCTTATGTCCGGTTCTCTTGACAGGCCTGTGCCCCCCTGTGGTCCCAGGAATGTGGCACTTCCATGTTCAGCACCGGGATTTGCACCAGTGTGGACGAGAACTTCCGCCTGACGGAAAACATCGCCCCAACAGCTCAGAGTAAGTTTTGGTGTCCTGCAATGATGTGTCAGATTTCTAAAGCGGCTAGCATTGAGGGCCTCGGCTGGAAGCCCTTCTTCTCTCTACTCCCAAGTCCCTCAGAAATAGCTGTTTTGGTCCAGGAGAAAGGCAAGTGCCACTTTGCACATGTTCAGAAGTGCTCTGGACTAGCCAATACGGCACCCTCTTGTGCAGCATTTAAGGTAGCAGGTGATGATAAGAAAGAAGAGAGTTTGGATTTGATATCCCGCTTTATCACTACCCTAAGGAGTCTCAAAGCAGCTAACATTCTCCTTTCTCTTCCTCCCCCACAACAAACACTCTGTGAGGTGAGTGGGGCTGAGAGACTTCAGAGAAGTGTGACTAGCCCAAGGTCACCCAGCAGCTGCATGTGGAGGAGCAGGGAAGCGAACCCGGTTCACCAGATTACGAGTCCACTGCTCTTAACCTCTACACCACACTGGCTCTCAAGGAGGGCCTTTATCTACCTGAAATCCTGGATAGAGTTGCTGCCTCCCAGAGTAGGCTGGTCTGAACAAGCAGTTTGACTGAATATACGGCAGCTTCCTTTGTTAAAAGCTGTTGGGTGTTTTAGTGATTTGAAATGCACCGCTGTGAGCATTTAAGTCCCCCCCAAGGTTAGCATTTTCTTCAGCCTGCAGGCCCAGGAGGACTCATTGCAATGATTCCATATGACTCAGGCTCTGGAAAGTCGAGTTGGGACATCAGTCATGCATCGTGTGCCAATGACTTTTCTCCATGAACTATCTGAGGTGGCAGCCTTAGGCCTCTGTTGAATCACTTCAGGCTAGCAGGGCCGTGTGCCATATTTTACAGAGGGCAGACCCCTATTTTAAATGGGTCATCTTGCTAGTCCCAGCTTTTTGGAGAAAAACAGGTGGCGCTGTGGGTTAAACCACTGAGCCTAGGACTTGCCAATCAGAAGGTCGGCGGTTCGAATCCCTGTGACGGGGTGAGCTCCCGTTGCTCGGTCCCTGCTCCTGCCAACCTAGCAGTTCAAAAGCACGTCAAAGTGCAAGTAGATAAATAGGAACCGCTCTGGCGGGAAGGTAAACGGCGTTTCCGTGTGCTGCTCTGGTTCACCAGAAGCGGCTTAGTCATGCTGGCCACATGACCCGGAAGCTGTCTGCGGACAAACACCAGCTCCCTCGGCCCATAGAGCAAGATGAGCGCCGCAACCCCAGAGACGGTCACGACTGGACCTAATGGTCAGGGGTCCCTTTACCTTTACCTTTATCCCCCCTGAAAAAAACAACCCTCCTTTGCCATTGCCTAACTTTCTGCCTTTTCAATTTCATACAGGATGCTCAACTTACATGGACATAATAATTGTTCTGGATGGTTCCAACAGCATTTATCCTTGGTACGAGGTGCAGAACTTTCTTAGCAACATCCTTAGCAAATTTTTCATCGATCCAGAGCAGATCCAAGTGAGTTTGCTATTTTGTTTGAAATGACTTTTTAAATAATAATCCAAACATATATGATGGAAAAAATATAAGTTATTCGAAATTGCAGTATAGGCATGGCTACCTATTCATATACTAAGCTACACTTCAGTTTATAAATTACAGTGGTACCTCAGGTTACATATGCTTCAGGTTACATACGCTTCAGGTTACAGACTCCGCTAACCCAGAAATAGTGCTTCAGGTTAAGAACTTTGCTTCAGGATGAGAACAGAAATCGGGCCCCAGCGGTGCGGCAGCAACAGGAGGCCCCATTAGCTAAAGTGGTGTCTCAGGTTAAGACCAGTTTCAGGTTATGAACAGACCTCCGGAACAAATTAAGTACTTAACCCGAGGTACCACTGTATTGTTTCTTTCCATTATTTGTTAAATAGTTATTCTGCAGCTTCACACAGTCAATTGCAAAACCGTCAGCTTCTAGCACTCAGTAAACATATGGGACCACTCAGTTCCACTCATTTAACTCTCCTCTTGATAACTTAGCTTCACAGTAACTTACTTATTCTAAATCAGCTTTCACAGGGCAAAATCACTGTGGAGAAAATCTGCTTTTATAAGGCAACATCACTGTTGCAAACTGGAGATTTGATGGGGGGGCAGTTCTTGAGGATTCTGTGCTTGCTGGTCTGATGGGAGTTGAAATCCAAAACATCTGGAGGGCAGCAGGTCAGGAAAGGCCAGTATACAGTGTGACTTGTTTTAAAAGGGGCAGAGGGTTGAGAGCCACCCAAGACATCCCTGCGAGAGTCTGCTTGGCTTCCTCCCCACATCCTCCGGCTATGTTGGCTGAGGAAACGCTTAGACACTCTGCTTGGACTGTTTCCCTGACTCACGCATGATGAGAAGGAAGCTGTGCTGGGCCAAAGCCAAGGGCAAGGCATTATTACCATCAACACCACTAGTCATTATTATTGGTATTCTTACACCCTATATTTTTCTAGGCACTGGAGATTAAGAAAGCAACATAGTCCTACTCACAAGCTTATAGTCTAATGGGCAGGGATGCTGTTCCAAAGGACAGGGGTAGCCACACTAAAAGCCCTCCTCTGAGTTTACCGCAGAGCAGGCTTCTGAGATCTTTGGATCTTGCAAGATAAACTCTCCCGCAGACTGTTGCCATCTGCTGGGTGTATAAGGGATAAGCTGGTCCCTCAAGTAAACTGGACCAGAAGTGTACGGTACATGTTAGTGGCAACACCATGAACTTGGCCAGATAGTAAATTGGCAGCCAGAGCAAATCCTGCAAGAAAAGGTCTTATGTTTCAGAATGTAAACTCAGAACATCCATTGCTGTACTCAAGTGTCAGAGGACCTAGATTTCGCTGACCCAGATTCTGATGGTGGCAATCTGCCGCTTCTAGTAATTTTAAAATTTTGACCATATTTAATTTGTTGCCATTAAGCAATGCTCACCTTTTTGAAGGCTAGGTTGCATATAAATATTATACCCCATATGAAGAGTTTGGGGAAATCATTTTGTGTGTGTGTGTGTGGAATGTATTTGTTCAGATGGCTGGTCTTAACAACAGCCATCATTTGATATTTAAGCTACGGAATGTCAAGTTTATGTATAATAATTCAGCTCTGAAACAGAAGGAAACCTTGGCATGCAAAGCCACCTTCTCAGTTATATATCCACTACTGTTTCTGAGCAGAATTTTAACTTTTAATAACTCAATTACACTACACATGATAACGTAAAAAGAACCTTTCTGGATGAGACCAGAGTCCCAGCATCCTGTTCTCACAGTGGCCAACCAGATGCCTATGGGAAACCTTCAGGCAGGATCCGAGCACAAGAGCAACTCTCCCCTCCTGCAGTTTCCTCCTGCAGTTTGCCTCCTACTGTGGAGGCAGAGCATAGCCATCATGACTAGTAGTCATTGATAGCTTTATCCTCCATGAATTTGTCTAATCCTCTTTAAAGCCATCTAAGATAGGGACCGTCATGCCCTCATGCAGGATGGATTTTCATTGTTTAACTATGCGCCATGTAAAAAAAATCCTTTCTTTTCTCTGTCCTGAGCCTTCCAACATTCAGCTTCCATGAATTCTAGCATTATGAGAGAGGGAGAAAATCTCCAAAACTGACAAGGAACTGTGCCAGGGTTTCATATCTCCTCCACTTCATCCATGCAAAAACTGAAATCGCCCCAACTTTTAATTAATGCAAAAAAAGGGGAAACCGTAAATTAAATGGAATGTGCACCTAATGGCCATGTGTGACTCTCAGAGTGTGGCCACGTTCTGGAGTTCACCCCTAATCACTTTATTTCTCCTTGGCCTGTTAGCAGCACGTGCTGGGGTATCGCTTGACCTTTTCCCCCATCTCCGTTGCTGCTGCAGGATGGAGCCTGTGCCAGGGCAGAGGCGTGGGACGTTTGAAAACCCCAGCCTGTGGAAAACAGGAAGCTTAAAGAAAACAGGGAGAGGGAGGGAAGGGGACCTGGTTCTGTGTAGGCTCATTGTGAGCGGCAGAGGGGCTCTCTGCTGAGTCAGCATGAGCGCGAAAACCTTCTCCAAGGCTAAGGAAGGGTTGGCAAGAAGGGGAGCGGATGGCAGTTCCCCAAGCAAAACACACCTTTTGTTTTTGCAGATGTTTCAGACTCCAACTCCCAGAAGCTCCGCTAGTCAGCATGGCCAGTAGCTGGGGGTGATGGGATCTGTAGTTCAGGGACATCTGGTGGGCTGGAGGTGGGGAGAAAATTCCCTTTGGGGTTCAGTACAGAGGCTCACACCAAACACTCTTTTTTAAATTTTTCCTTATATATAATTTTTATTAAATTTTCTGTTTTAAAATTTAAAATACTCATTTAAACATCCTTAAAAGATCAGTGACTTCCCTTCTTCTCTTTCCATGGTTCATTTTGCATATCATAAATCCCTGCATATTTTACAAAATCTAAGCCATTCAGTATTCCATTATTACATCCATCAAAACTTATTTACACTGTTGAATTTATCTTAACGCTGCCAATGTTTCAAGTGTATACAATTTCCCCCCATATATTCAATAAGGGTTTTCCAATCTTCTCTAAACGTATGTTCTTCTTATTCTCTTATTCTGTATGTTGAATCTGTAAGCTGTGTATATCCTGCCAGCTTAAGTTGCCATTCTTCTTTAGTTGGGACCTCACTTGTTTTTCTGTTTTTGGGCTAGCAAAACATGAGCCGCAGTAGTGGCATACATAAATACAGTAAACTTCTTCTTCTTTTTTGCTCACAAAAAGTTCTCAGTCAGACTTATTCAGAATTGCATTACAGGATAGAATCCAAAATAGCCTGTGGAAGCATTTCCATTAGCACACATCCTAGATGGGCAAAATATATGTCACCGTGGCTGGTTATTTTCCAGTCAACCAACCTTCTGCCGCCTGAGTACCACACTATCTGTTCTTTCAATCACAGTCCTTGAAAACACTTCCTCAAGTTTTTTGCTGTACAGTGGTACCTCAGGTTACATACGCTTCAGGTTAAATACGCTTCAGGTTAAAGACTCCGCTAACCCAGAAATAGTGCTTCAGTTTAAGAACTTTGCTTCAGGATGAGAACAGAAATTGTGCTCTGGCGGCGCGGCAGCAGCAGGAGGCCCCATTAGCTAAAGTGGTGCTTCAGGTTAAGAACAGTTTCAGGTTAAGTACAGACCTCCGGAACGAATTAAGTACTTAACCTGAGGTACCACTGTACATGCAGAGCCCTCCTTGTACCTTATCTAGAGTTGTTTTTCACTCTCAACAGTCAGTGTTAGGTTTCCTCCTGAATCCAGTTTTGTGGCCATACAGCCCTCTTACGTAGTGCACACTCACGGCCAGGTAGCCTGTATCAGCTGCTCTCCTTTATAATAATATCATGCTTATCATTCATGTAGCATGAATGCTTATCACTTATGAAGCTCTTTCACATTATACTTGGTGATCCTTACTGCAGTCTTGACCCTTAACTGCAGTATAATTATTAGCTCCGAAACATAATAATGCACACACAGACGTACATATAATACAGATATATTATTATTCTTTCATTTATGTCCCACCCTTTTTCTCCAGGGAGCTCAGGGTAGTGTAGATGGTTGCCCACCCCACATTTATTTCCCACAACAACCCTGCGAGTTAGGTTTCCAGGGGACAATGTAGAAAAGATAGATTTGTAGAGGTCTGGCTTTATTTTATTACATATGTCAATAAGCAATAACATGGTCTGTCCCCTCTCTCTGCTTATCAATGGATTGGTTGATCCAATACTATAGGATGCAATTCCTCTTTAAGATTCTTTCCACCCACAGCATGCATGGTTTTATTTTATTCTATGTTTAAAATCCTGCTCATCTTTATATTTTGAATTATGCCAGCCTGGTGTGTATTTCTTTTTCTTAACCCAATGACGTGTTCTCTTTCAGTCACTTTTCTTGCTTTCTTTGTAATAATAAAAAGGGGAAAGAAAAAAAAACACCAAGCAAATCTTTCTCTCCTTGTAGGTTGGGGTATTGCAGTACAGCGAGGTTGCTGTCCACGAATGGACTCTGAAGGATTACCAAACAGCAGAGGAGGTCATTGAAGCCGCCAAAAACATCAGCCGCCAGGAGGGGCTCGAAACTAGGACAGCGTCTGCCATCCACAAAGCCTGGTGTGTGTTTGTGTGTGTGTGTCTCTTGATCCTGACAGAGACAGACAAGCAGGAGCCCAGCTCATGTGTGAAAGAGGCATTTTGCAAAGAAGCAAGTGGCCTTATTGGGGGGGTGGTGTGTTTTGAATGAGCTCCGATGGTCTGGTGTGTATGGACGCAGCGTCTCTCAGCCTGACCTACGTCACAGGGTTGTTGTGAGGATACAACAACAACAACAATAACAACAACAATTTATTTATACCCCACCCATCTGGCTGGGTTTCCCCAGCCACTCTGGGTGGCTCACAACAGAATATTAAAAACATGATAAAACATCAATCATTAAAAACTTCCCTAAACAGGGTTGTATTCAGATGTCTTCTAAAAGTCACATAGTTGTTTATTTCCATGATGGGAGGGCATTTCACAGGGCGGGCGCCACCACCAAGAAGGCTCTCTGCCTGGTTCCCTGTAGCCTCACTTCTCACAGTGGGGGAACCGCCAGAAGGCCCTCAGAGCTGGACCTCAGTGTCTGAGATGAACGATGGGGGTGGAGACGCTCCTTCAGGCATACTGGGCCGAGGTCATTTAGGGCTTTAAAGGTCAGCACCAACACTTTGAATTGTTCTCAGAAATGTACTGGGAGCCAATGTAGGTCTTTCAGGACTGGTGTTATAGAGCCTTGTGCGGCACCTTGGAGGAAAGATGGGAAGGAAAAGCAGCAAGTAAATAAATAAGTTCTCCTGCATTTCAGCATGGTTTGTGCAGGAGAACATCCTGGCAGGTGGTGCTCTGGTGAGTCGGATCTGTTAGGCTTCCATTGGTGCTGGTCTGATTGGCACACAAAATCTTGCCTACCGCCAGCATCTCCAAGAAATGCCATTCTCAGAACAGGAGTGCATCTTGTTATCCTCCCTCCTCACCTCTTGTTTCTCTCTTCAGCACAGAGGCCTTTAGCCCAGAAAGAGGCGGGAGAGAGGGAGCCACCAAGCTGATGATTGTGGTGACTGACGGGGAGTCCCACGATGGCGAAGAACTCCAAGACGCCCTGGAAGAGTGTGAGAAACGGAACGTGACACGCTACGCCATTGCAGTGAGCATGCGCTGGTGCCAGGAGGCTTTTGGGTGGCGGCAGTGATGTGGGTGTGCATGCGTGTGAAAAAGAGAGGGAGCAAGGGCTGAGAGAGGTGCCATGTGAAAAAGAATTCAAAGCAGGTTCTTCTCCCATGATTCCATGTCTAGCTTCCTTCCGCCTTGACAGATAATAAGGGCTTCATTACTAAATGGCTTCAGTACTAAATTTAATATTGGTTCATTCCAACTTGCATATGAAGGAGCTGCAAATTTATATATTTAATGATTTCAGTGTGAAAGAGGCGGAAGTTGACATGCTGTTCTGAGATAACTAGCAGAATCTATTGCTTGAATCCTTTTGTATTGCTCTCTCTTGGTCCCCACTATTGTCTTCATCCCCCACCCACCCATCCAAATATTTTCAGGTGAGTTTCAAGTAGGGAGGTAAGAAGGGCATTGCTTTCTGTCCCACCCTGTGTTCCTCCCATGCAGCCCGTGCTTCTGTTCTCCTGCAGTCCACCCTTTTCTAAAAACAACATCATTCATCTCGCTGTCCACCATGGCGACATAAATTACGTTATTCCACCTCATTCATTTCAGTGCAGAGGAAGCACAACGCAAATGGTGGTGGTGAGGGAAATGTAACCAACTGCAAATTGTTTGTGGACTGAAAGCATCAACAACAGTGAATACCAGTCGTATCCGCTGGATTGATTCCCCTTTCCAGACATTAAACAAATAAGCAAATGTGGGCAATTTTCTGCTCCCGTTTCCATTTTCTGCGGAATTCTCTTACACCCTTAGTTGTCATAATGTGTCATAATGAGCACTTCTTGCACCTCAAACATTTTTTGAAAAATGGCTTTTGTTCCCTCAGGTGTTGGGGCACTACATTCGGCGGCAGAAAGACCCGGACTCTTTCATCAACGAGATTAAATACATTGCCAGCGACCCTGATGAGAAGTATTTCTTCAACGTGACCGATGAGGCGGCCCTGAACGATATTGTGGATGCCTTAGGGGACAGGATATTTAGCCTTGAAGGTTCGAGAAGGGGGAGGGTGAAAAAGGGGGGGGCTACCACCGGTTTCCCTGTGGTTTATGAAAGTTAAACAAAATGGAGTGCAGAAGAAGTGTTAGTAGGGAGCTCTCTAACACCTCCCTCATAACAAGTTCCCAGCTGTCCTGTGTAAACCTCAGTATGAGTGGGGCACAGTGCTGGCTCAAACCTTAAGGGCCCTCAGCACTGGGGGCCCTCTTCTGCACCAATAGCGCCCCCTCTTGGGCTTACACGGTAGTGGCCACAGTCAGTGTCGGGTGACCCTTCATTTTAATTTCCCGCAGTGCCCTAGAGTAACAGGACATTGGGAGCACTGTGGAGGATTTAAAATAGTGGCTTCCTTTGCCAAAAGCTGTGTGGTGATACCAGACAAGCATAAGATTCTCTGCTGAGGGAGATTTGGATAAATCTTATAATGGGGGGCATATGCAATGGAGAATTGGCAGGGCAGATTAAGCCCCTTCCCTCCCTCCCTGTCAGTGCTCACCTGCTATTTCAGCAAACAGAGCACACCTTGTTCATTTATCAATCTGCCTACTATATTTATCTTACTACTTTGTTGCTTTTCTACTAAAAAAAAATACCCAAAGAGGTGTGCAACTATTAACAGATTTCTTCTCCCCCCCGCCCCCGCTTCTCCTCAGGGACCCGTGAATACAGCTCATTTGAGCTGGAAATGTCTCAGATTGGCTTCTCTATGCACCTCCTTGAGGTAAGAAGATACATTGTGGTTCAAAGTGTGGTTCTCAAACCTTCCCTCATGGACCATTTGAAAATTGCAGAGGTTCTTGGCCTCGCCACTTAAGGGTTGTTCTGCCTGTTTGTAGCTTTTGTAATGCTGTATGACTTCTATTTGCAATGTTATGGGCTTCAGAGGGTTCAGTCTGGATGACCCCTTAAGATCCTTTCCAAACCTGGGGTCCGGTGTATCAAAGGCTAGAGTCTATAGAAGAAAGCTGACTGAAGTGAGCAGGCCAGTTCCCATGTCAAGATAAAGGCCTTAGCTAATCAGCTAAGTGCCCGTCATTCGCATCTTCAAGCTCTGTTTCCATAGAGACAAATAGCGAGACTTGTCTCACTTCACCAGGCTGGATACCTCAGCATCCTAGGAATGATAGGACAAAGCAGGGAGTTGTGGGTGAGAGTTTGGCTGGTGCTGGAAGCTGGATACACAGAGATGTGTGTGCTCTGTGTTGGATTTGGGCCTTCCCTTGAAATCTAATAGGAAAGCAGGATCTCTTGGGGTACGAATGCTGTGAGCCCCTCCATCCTCCATGCTCAGGTTGTATAAATGTGTAAATACAATCATATACCCTAAAGACACCACAGTCTCCGTTGTTGACCTTCAATCCGAGACAGCCAAACCCTGGTTAAGCAGGCACCATTCTTTTTTACAGAGCTCTGAATTAAGTTCATGGGTCTCTCCGTTGGTCCACAGACCACAGTTTGGGAACCACAAAGGGTAAACTGACACGCCCAAGTTTAGCCAACGTGATGTCTTCCTAAGGTAGTTGGACTTCATCTCCCATGACTCCCATTACTGCTTGGGGCTGATGGGAGTCATGGTGCAACAGCATATGGTACGCCCCCTGCTGGCTACCTTTGGTATCACTGCGTGAAAGGCAGGGGCAAATGGTTTTGGCTGCAGTCTTACTTGTGTTGTCTGGCTGGACTGCTTATGTATCTGCTTGTTCCCTGGCAGGACGGGATCCTCTTTGGCATGGTAGGGGCATATGACTGGGATGGCGCAGTCTTGAAGGAGAGCAGGAGTGGGCGGTTCATCCCGCCAAGGGAGGCCTTTGAGAGGGAGTTCCCCCTGAGGCTGAAAAACCACGCAGCCTATCTGGGTAAGGAAGGATGCCGCTTCCCATTATACAGGGAGGGAAAGAGTGGAGACCCACAAAGGGCACAAAGATAAAATCAGACCACCTGCAGGATCAGGCCAGAGGTCCTTCTAGCGCAACATCATAGAGGCCTCTGGGAAGTCCACAAGGAGATCAGGAAGCCAGTAGTCCTCCCCTGGTATCCACAGGTAGACTTGCCCTGTACATGGAGGTTTCATTTAATAGTCAAGGCAGTTGGCAGGCCTGTTCTTCACCCCATCTCCCCAATTCTCAGTGGCTATTTGTTTCCAAAATCAAGGTGATAAAATGATCCCAGCATGTTTCAAGCACGGCTCCTGTTCAGAATAGAAAACTAAAGTGAGATTCATTTGTTTTGTTTGTTTGTTAAACCACTTGCTTATGCAGGATGAATAAAAGCAAGGCAGTCCTTTGCTTTCCCCTTTCACCAAGTGTGTGAGGCCAGTCAGTGCTTGTTCCCATTTTGCAGAAAGAAAAACTTAAGGCTGTGAGTGAAAAGCTAGCCAATTAGTTCAGGGCAAAACAAGAGTCTGCACAGCTTTATTATTTTTCTCTCTCTTTTCCTTCCCCAGGATACACAGTCTCCTCTATCAAGCTCAGGAACGGGAAGGGGCTGTATGTGGCTGGTGCCCCCCGCTTCAAGCACAAGGGGAAAGTGATCCTGTTTGAGATGAGCAGCGATGGCAGCGTAACCATTTCCCAGGCCCTTACTGGGGACCAAGTGAGTTTCGGGGCAGTGGAGATGATAGTAGCTGATTTCTGGAGTGACAACCGCATCCCTACAGACTTTGTTCTTTCATTCCCGAATATGTCTGCAGTTACTGAGAGAAGAGAGTAAAAGACAGTCTGTACATGATCAGAGACACTCCTCCCTTTCATACAACCTCACCTGCTGGCTATGGCTGAGGCCCAAACTCATTATGGTGGGACGAGGCAGGGGTTAGGGGTGCTGCTCCTTAGGGGAGGGAGATTCAACCCTTCCACTATCTTCGCAGGCACAACAAGAACTCGTGACGCAGAACTTTGGGGTCCAAATAGATGGAGGTGGTTTCCAGCACAATTTATAGCAGCCAAGGATGGGTTGGGGGTGGTGGAGGTCATTATGGATTGGGGACTGAACTGAAATACCCTCTGCACCTGAATGTAAATACCTGAATGTATTGTTTTTTTTCTACAGTGCCATCTATGCAGGTGGTGCTTTATAAAGAGCAGGTTTTTGAAAACTCTGAATTCCTCAAGATTCTGAGTCTTGCCTGACCACACACACACAAGATAGATAGACAGATGATAGATAGATAGATAGATAGATAGATAGATAGATAGATAGATAAGATAGATAGCCATGAAATTGTCCCCTGGACCTCTGAGTTTGCATCTAGGTGTCTGGGGGTGCATCTTTCTTTATTGAGATCTGGAAATATGTAAAATCAGGCTTAAGGAGCAGGATTGCGCTGATGTCCAGTGCAGAAGAACTTGTGCAATTCTGACATAGCAGGTGGCGTCTTTCTCTGCAGATTGGCTCCTACTTTGGCAGTGAAATGTGCCCGGTGGATGTGAATGGAGATGGAATCACAGACGTACTGCTGGTGGCTGCCCCCATGTATCTGGGCCCACAGAACAAAGAGACAGGCCGCGTTTACATCTACAAAGTGGGGCAGGTGAGTGTTGTTGTTTTGGTTTTTTAAAAAAACTCTTTTTTATTAAGGGTTTTCTATAAACAGCAGGAATACAGACAAGTTCCATCATACATTAGCAATACAGCAGTACAATAGTGTCTCCATCATAATACATTAGTACAATACAGCAGTACAATACATAAGTACAATACAGCAGCAGCAACAACAACAAATTATATTTATTTATTTATTTATTTATTTATTTATTTATTTATTTATACCCCGCCCATCTGGTTGGGTTTTCCCAGCCACTCTGGGCGGCTCCCAATAGTATATTAAACAGAATGAAACATCAAACATTTAAAACTTCCCTAACAATTGAGTTTATCCTGGCAATGAAGTAGACAAGGAAATGTCCCTCCAGGAAGTTCCCAGCCACCTTCAGTCACCTAACAGATGAATGGGTACCAAGTTTGAACAACTTTATTAGGGCTACTCCTCTGGCTCTCCTGCATTCTTGAGTAAGCTTATCACTGACTGCTAATTGCCAAACTCTCTCCTCCCAAGTGTTAACAGGAAGGCTGACCACTCCCTTCCAAGCTCATGCCATTTCCAGTCTGGCCTCTACTGAGCAAAGAAATACTTTTCACATGGGAGAGCCAGTAAATTTCAAGCTCTTCTGACACATGACCCACCTGGAACCTCATCCTGCAACAAAAAGTGCAGCACTTGTATTGTGGCACTCAGCCTTCCCCAACCTGATGCCTTCCCTCCCAGGTGTTTTGGACTACAACTCCCATCAGCCCCTGCTAGAATGGCCAATGGTCAGGGATGATGGGAGCTGTTGTCCAAAGCATTGCAATGTTTTCATTGGCTGAGCATAGATTGCCCAGTACAGTACTTTGCTGAGAATTCGCTTTCCAGGATCTGAGGCAGGGAAGGATCTTTCTCAACAGCTGCTATCTGAGATCCTCTAAACTGGAGATGCCCCGGTTGAAACTGGGACCTTCTGCATGTGCTTCAGTCCTGAGCATAGCTGTCAACTTTCAGATTTGAAAATAAGGGATCAGCAGCCTCACCTGTCCTGGGGACAGTCTACAGGATATCTAACAATCCAGGATAGCAGCGGGAAGCAGTGGGAAACGGTGCTGGAATAAGGGCATCTCCCGCAAAAAAAGGGAAGGTTGACAGCTATGGTCCTGAGCCTTCCTCACAGTGCTTCACGGCACACCGTTGTGAGGGAGGGGGTTTACTATCCTGAAGCCAATGCCTAACGGCTCCACTGTGCCTCCCATTTTAACCTTTCTCCCTCTTCTGAAGTTGCTCGTGTCTTTCAACGGGACCCTTCATGCCGACCCGAAACCTCAAGACGCTCGTTTTGGCTACTCCCTTCTGGCTGTCCCTGACCTTAATCACGACAGCTATAATGATGTTGTGGTGGGCGCGCCGCTGGAGGACAACCACCAGGGGGCAGTCTACATCTATCATGGCTACCGCACCACAGTGCTGCCCCGCTTCAAACAGGTGAGTGGGAGCCAGTGTCCAGCTCCAGTGTTTGAGTGCTTCCCACTATTCCAACAGCTCTTTCCACTAGGATGTTTCCCCCAATGTTTAGCTAAAATTGGTGCCCCTTGCCATTTCCACCCCCAGGCCCAGTTCCTATTCACTTTCCATGATCCGGGGGGCTTAAGATGGCATTTGCATTTTTAGCAGGCAAATCACACTGCTGGGTGATGTTCAGCTAAGATGCCCATGTCCTTTCTTAGCTGTGCTCCTGCCAGGCCAAGTCTCCCTCCCTCATCCTAAACGTGCGGCTTCTATTTTATTTTATTTTATTGCCACTAAACGCAGCGCTTTGCATTCGATTCTGTAGTATCACAAGCTGTTTTAGGTTCCAGCTCCAACCTGTCAATATCATTTTGATTCTTTTTTGCCTTTGGTAAATAACTATTTATTTTGTTTTTAACCATGACAGGACACACAAAAATAAAAGAATATATCAATGAAAACCAGTAGCAAAAGGGAAGAGTAAAATGTAAAATCTAAAAGAGAATTGAGAAAGAAAACCATAGATAGCAAAATTAAGCAATGTCCTCGTACCATTTTGATTTTTGATTCTGATTCTCTCACCGCACTAAGTTCAGGACAGATAAAAGAAAACCCAGCACATAGTTTAACTATGGAACGCTCTGCCACAGGAGGCAGGGATTGCTACCAACCTTGATGACTTTAAAAGAGGATTAGACAAATTAATGAAGGAGGGGGCTGTCAATGGCTACTAGCCACGAGGGCTGTGCTCTTCCTCCACTCTTGGAGGCAGTGATGCTTCTGGGTATCAGTTGCTGGAAACCACAGAAGGGAAGGGCTCTTGAGTTCGGGTCCCGCTTGATGGTTTCCCATTGGGGCATCTGGTTGCTCACTGTGAGAACAAGTTGCTGGACTGGACGGGGTCTCCTTTGGCCTGTTCCAGCAGGCTCTTATGTTCTTAAGTACATTTGGAACAACTGCAGTGAGGGCTCTTACAGAGCAGCCTCACTGATTAAAACCAAACACCCCACATTCTCCCCCCCCCTTTTTCTTTTTGGATTTGCATTTTATTTATTTGTTAACATTCTTATATTACATCGGTAAACGTTGTCATATTACATTACAGGACTTACTATAATGTAATTTCCAACATGTATACAAAAATTATATACAAATTTTATATACCAAGAAAGAAAATTAAACAAAAAAAGAGAAAGAACAAAGAGAAAAAACAAAAACAATCCCCCCAAAATCATATACATACCAACACACTAGACTTCCTGTCTTTCCCATTGTATATTCCTTTTTTACAAATGAATGTACTCTTATTATTGTATATTTCTTTACATATTATCTAATACATTCCTATATCAATATGTGCTCTTAGTCTCATTTCTCAACTCAGTCTCACTCCAGTGTCAATCACATGCTAGCATAGATAGCTAACCTTTACTGTATTTTTGAACATATATTTTATATCTATCCCACTTTTCCATAAATTTTTGTTTTGAATTGCCTCTCAGGGTATTTGTTAACTGCGCCATTTCAGCAACTTCTTGTAGCTTGTAATGCCAGTCCGTTATTGTCGTGGCTTCACACATTCTGTGTCTTCAGCTTTTGATTTGCTCTTTCCGACAGCGCATTGAGTCGGCCGGCCTCCGCCAAGGCCTCCGCTACTTTGGCCGCAGCTTGGATGGGCAAATAGATTTGGATGGGGATGGCCTGGTGGACCTTGCCGTTGGAGCTCAGGGCGCTGCGGTGGTCTTGAGGTGAGGGGAGCTGGAAGGTGGGAGGGAATGAAAGCTGCACCCGGGCAGAGGGAACATCAAGGTCATTGAAGTGAACTTCAAGGCCAATAGGAATCTGAACACTGGTCTCTTCTCAGGGACTAGTCTGATACTCTAACCGCTGCACCACGCTGCCTCTCAAAGCAGTGTCATACCACTTTAAACAATCACGGTTTCCCCAAAGGAAAGCTGTTGAAAGATCCATATTCTCCTGCCGGAGCGACAGTTCCCCGAGTGGTTTAGCAATCAATCCCTTTTGACAGGGAACTCTGGGAATTATAGCTCTGTGAGTGGAATAAGGGGTCTCCTAATAACTCCCAGGATTCTTTGCAGGGAGCCATGACTGTTTAAAGTGATATGATATTGCTTCAGACGTATGGCGCAGACCTTAGGCCCAACCTTGGGATTTTTAATTTATTTAACAATATCATTTTCCTTCTTGCTGAGGGGGGCAGGTCAAGGAGGATTGTGCAAGTCAACACTTCGGTCACTGCTAACCCTCCGTCCATCAATGTGATTCAGAAGAACTGCCAGAGGAACAGAAAGGAGTCTCTTTGTGTGACGGCAAACATCTGCTTCAGGGTGTCTTCCCGGTCTCTGGGCCCGAGGGACAGCCACTTCAGTGAGTAGCGCCCTCTTGGCAGGCGAGTTGTTAGGGGTTGGCAGGATCTTCTCCACGGTGTCCTCTGGACTGTTTCTGGGCAGTTAATGCATTTGGAGAAAACTTGAATTGGAGTGTTATCTGGGTTGCAAGGCAGGGTCTTAATTTGGGGACGGAATAACTAAATATAAGGTAACTTTTAACTAGAGATTATTTACAGGATAATGAATGGGGGCAATGGAAGGGAAATTGATTTGCAAACAGGATCAGTTGGAAAATTAACTGGGGGTAAATTAATTAACGGGAAGCTGATTGGGGGCAGGGGGCAAATTTGTTGAAGAATTTATCCGGGGGGATATGGATGAGAAATCAGGCAGCTTGCCTTCTGTGATACTTTAAATCTAAACTCGTGTTTGTGCCTGTAGGCCTGTGCCCCTAATCCAGGCATAGGCAAACTCGGCCCTCCCGGTGTTTTGGGACTACAACTCCCATCATCCCTAGCTAACAGGACCAGTGGTCAGGGATGATGGGAATTGTAGTCCCAAAAAACATCAGGAGGACCGAGTTTGCCTATGCCTGCCCTAATCTTAAACTACCTTGCAACACCTCTGGGCCAGCTCTTGAGGAGCCTTGCGATTGGCTGTTGGCTGATCACATGACTGAAACCAGGCATCACCAGCCTAGGACCCTCCATAAGTTTCTGACTGCAGCTCCCACCAGCCCCAGCCCCCATGGCCAATGCCCGAGGAGGATGGGAAATGTAGTCCAAGGTTAGCAAAGGCTGGCTTTGCTTGACTCCACTCACTGCTTGGCCCTAGGTATAAAGTACAACGTCTCCCTGGATGACAGAAAATTTGGGGCTAGGGCCGTCTTCGATGGCAACTCCCAAAAGCTGCTGCAGAAGAGGACCCGGGCCACTGTGGGCAGGACAACCTGCTCGGCGGTCCGTTTCCACGTGATTGTGAGTACATTACAAGGGTGGGTGGGTCAGTTCTGACTCCGACTGATGCAGAGAGAGACCCCATGGGTCATCTAGTTCAAACCCCTGCAATGCGGGAACAATGCTCAAATATTCCAACCTCTGCTTAAAAACCACCAAGGTGCACGGTGTTCTCCTGTTTTAATCTCAGCAATGCTGTGAATCTTTATCAGGCCTGCTATCTAAAGACAAACCTGGATTTGTTTATCCTTTGCAGGACACCTCTGATTACCTGAGGCCGGTTGCAGTCCTGGTGAAGTTCGCACTGAATGATGCTGAGCCAGGCCCTGTGCTGGACGATAAATCACCCACCAGTGTTAAGAAATTGGTGAGTAGCACATGCACAGATGCTCCATTACCAACTGCCCATGCCATTCTGCACATCAAACCAAACCATCTTTGCTGCATGTCCTACAAGACCTGCTTTCTGCTTTGCTAACCTGGGGGTCAAGATTTCATTTTGGAGATACTTAATTCTTGCTATTGCTATTATTATTTTTGTATTGTTACAGTTAGACCTTATTATGACCTACATGGTATTTGTATAATTTTATTGTATAGTTACTGAAATGAATTTTTAAAAGGACTGGTTTATCTAATGCATATATGGCTGCTTTTAGAAACAGAGGAGCATTCCCCCTTTATGTACCTTGCTTGAGAACTATATAGTTGTGTAACCTATTCATATAAGTTTATCTGTTTTTGAATCATGATTAATTCATAATACAATATCAAATAAAAATAAATTAATCAATTAATAATATTGTGGAGAGGGGTTTGCATCACACAGAATCATCCTGCCTCTTGCTCTCTCTTTAGATCCCCTTCTTTAAGGATTGTGGTGAAGACGACGAGTGTATAACAGATCTGGTGTTGCGAGCTCAGATGGACATCACAGGATCCAGGTAGGAATTAGAGTGAAAGGTCCCTCTCTCGCTACATCAGGCCAAGCAAGTAGTTCATCTTAGTTCATCAGCCACTTGCTGGTCCTCCTGGCCCAGGACCCTGTCAATCCAGTTCCTCCGTAACAGGTGGCAGGAGATCTGTTGCTGATGATACTCAGCTTGAGAGAATCATTTGATTGGGAGGCTGGGCAGAAGTCAAGAGTCCTGCCCTCCTCACCTTTTGCAAGGCAGGCGTTTGCCATCTCCTCTTCTCGTTCCAGGCAGAAGCCGCACGTGATCCGCAAAGGGAAGCGGAAAGTCTTGGTGGACGTCCTGCTGGAGAACAAGCAGGAGAACGCCTACAATGCCAGCCTGTGGCTCTGGTTTTCCAGAAACCTCCACTTTTCCAGCCTCGTGCTCAAGGTAAAGCAGAGGCCCTGTTCCCGACTGGCGTTCCGCTGTGGTCAAAAGTGTTGGCTGGAAGCAGAACGAAATGATCGCTAGGATACTGAGGGTCACCCTCTGGCCAGGGACGATGCTGGCTCTAGGAGGACTGAGAGTTGCCATAGCATTCTGGAAAGAGAAGCTGTCACATCTCTGAGGCTTAAATGTCATGGTGCCAACCTGAAAACTTGTGTGAATCATGAAGATGTGCATATTTTCACATCATTTATTCTGCTTTTTCATTTCTGCTTATTGGGGGGCCAGGGGAGGGACTTGAGCTCCAGAAATTGGGGGGCCGGGGGGAGGGACTTGAGCTCCAGAAACTCCCCTCACTTCTGAGATTGCACCAAGGATTCAAGCTTTGTCTTTGCAGCCAACAGTGTTTTGTCACGATCACATGGTCTGTGTGTTTTCTTTTTTAATAAACAAATGCAGAGAACATGTGACTGTTTACCAAATCCTGCAGGTTTTCTGTAGCCCGGAAGGTATACAACCCAGCTTCCGCAGCCCAAGGCTCTTTAAACACCTGTGTGATAAGCAGAAGTTGAATGGGCACAGTTTTCTCTAGCACAGAGGTGTAGCAACATTACGCGTTGGATCTCTGCCTCCTGTGAACCTTTTTGAAAGCTCTTGCCAGGAAAGCAAAAGGTGGAAACTCAAGTTGAGGAGGCTGGATCCCATTCCATGCGCTTGATGGTTCTCTCCTTTTGCAGCTTTGCTCTCTCCTTCCTTCCACAGGGGGAGAACTCAGTGAAGGTGGAATGCACCTCCCCGTCTTCCCAAACCCGAGCTTGCCGTGTGGGCTACCCTGTCTTCAGGTCCTTAGCAAAGGTGAGAGAGAAGGAGCACCTTTTCAGGATCCCCTCAGAGCGGGGTTCCTTGGAACATTTCCTAGGTGAACAGTATTCAATTTTTTCACGTAGGAAAAATAAAATAAAAGACAGCCAAAGGAAGATGTGGGCTGTGTACTCGCTATACACTTCAAGCACATGACTGCCCCCAAAGCATCTTAGGAACTGTAGTTTACCTCCCGTGGAGCTACAATTCCCAGCACTCTTAACAAATACAATTCCTAGAGTTCATTGAGGGAAGCCAATGTACACAGCTGTGGTACAGAGTTTATGAATGGTGTAGAAAAAGCACATACGGAAATGTTTCCCCCCCTCTCTTTCACAGGTAGCCTTTGTCCTGGAGTTTGAATTCAGCTGCTCTACCCTTCTGAACAAAGCACAGGTGAAGCTCACAGCCAGCAGGTGAGAACCAGGGAAAAGTCAGAAAGAAGGCCATCTATCTATATCTATCTATCTATCTATCTATCTATCTATCTATCTATCTATCTATCTATCTATCATCTATCTAACCACCTCTTCAGCTATGTATTTATTTTTGATTCAGATTTGTCATGGCTAATGACTAGTACAATACAGTTGTACCTTGGTTGTCAAACTTAATCCGTTCTGGGAGTCCGTACGACTCCTGGAACCTTTCGACAACCAAGGCGTGGCTTCTGATTGGCTGTAGGAGGCTTTCTGCACTCAATCGGAAGCCATTCAGATGTTCAGCTTCCAAAAAAACGTTTTCAAACCGAAACACTCACTTCTGGGTTTGTGGCATTCGGGAGCCAAAATGTCCAAGTACAAAGGCGTTCAAGAACCAAGGTACGACTATAAAGTTATTTGGCTTTGCATTTGATCAACTAGAAGTTGTGTAGAGGAGGGTGGCCCTCAAAATCAAGGGCCTCAAAACTGAGCCTAATGAGGAATGATTGAGGTAGTTGTGGATGCTTAGGTTGCAGACTTAGGTTGCAGACTTGAAGACTAAGAGCTGATAGGACCTCCATGTTCAAATATCTGAAAGGCTGCCACATGTGAGATGGAGCAAGCTTGTTTTCTGCTGCTGCAGAGGACTAATGAGTTCAAATTACAAGGAAGAGATTCTCACTAAACAGTAAGAATACCTTTCTGACAGGACAGCTGCTCGACAGTGGAATGGACTACCTCAGGAGGTGGTGGGCTCTCCTTCACTGGATGTTTTAAAACAGAGTTTGGATTGCCTTCTTTATCTGAGACTCCTGCAGCACGGGGGTTGGACTTGATGACGCTTTGGGTCCCTACCAGCCCAACAATTCTATGATTTTATAATCTTTCCTGCAGTGACAGCCATGAATTGAATGAGACCCTGACCGACAACATGGTACAGCCCCTTGCCTATATCCGTTATGAGCCCGACCTTTTGCTGACCAGGTGAGGACCTCTGTGTAGAGTGAGCTGCATGCAGGTTGAATAAGAGGATGGAGCCCCCTCCTTGCAAGGTGTCCCTGGCAGGATGATTCAGCTCCCCCAGGGTGGAGAGTAAACCAAATGTGAACACCATCATCACTTGGCTAATTCAGTCCAATGGCTACCTTTTATCTCTGTTGACATTCGAGGCTCTGGTTCCTCATGCAGGGATGCTTTCTGTTCTGACGCAACTCCCCAGTAGGACTACCCTGGCCTGTCTTAATACTTAGATTACCCTTCTAACTGTTGGCTGGCAAGGAAAAAAATAGGCGCGTAAAGGAGAATTCCCTGGATGGCAAGATCCAAGTTTGGGGCAAGTACTCTTTGTGAGAGAACCGCTGCAGAGATGTAAAATCACAAGATATGCAGCAAAGTAAAGTGTGGAAATATATAGGCTGTTTATTTAAAGGTCTAATATGCCCTCCTAAGTTCCAAAACTCCCCTCTTCCCTTAGCATAGAAAAAGACCACATATTTGGTAAGTTAACAATGGTTTACTTACAAACTCTTCAAAGGTCAGATTCATGTGTTTTCCCATACAGTGTTGAGAAAACACAGGCAGCAAAACTTCAGTAGGTTAGTTTCAAAGTGGTGAAAGTCCCTAAATTATTTGTATAGGAACACAAGGGTGGCTTGCAGAAAGCCATGAGGTCTGAGCTGGGAGCCACCAGCTCCTCTTTACACATAGGAGTTCACATGGTAGACTGAGGGAAATAGTAGACTTGACTTCCTTCCTCTCAAGGTGAAGAGGCGTGACTTAGCTAAGCCTGGCAGGACAGCTTACTCTATGGCATAAACCCCTTCATGCATTAATTAGACTTAAGCATTTTGGTTATGTGAGACTGGTTATCCGACACTAATTTACATTACTTACCTTAGATGGGTGGGCTGAACTTGACAACCTTTTGAGTTTCATTAGCTCTAAACATCCCACAGCACTTATTGTCATTACGGGTGGTCTGAATATGAGGATTGGTGATGACATCTCTAGGCCTCCCATTTTCATAATATATAGATTGGGAAGATCTCTTCCTTTTGGGGTATCCCTCCAGGGATAGCTGCCTGAACCATCAAGGGATATTGGAATGGATATGGAGTTTGGGAAGAAATGAAGTAACAATTGATCAACATGGCCTACCTTCCGGGGCAGGGCGGGGGAAACAGGTGCTATTAAAGGATGTCAATTTATAAATACTGTATTTAATTTATTTATACCATTTAAATCCCACTTTTTTCTTCATGGAGCTCAGGGTGGCTCACATGGTTCTCCCCCTCCTCATTTAATCCCCACAACAACCCTGTGAGGTAGGTTAGCCTGAGAGGAACTGGCCCAACATCACCCAGCGAGGTTCATGGCTGAGTGGGGATTCGAACCCTGGTCTCCCAGTTCCTAGTCTGACACTCTTAAGTGCTACATCACCATAGGAGATGGGACTAGGTGGAAGGTATATGGATTTTCTTCTTCAGGCAACAAAAGGCCTTGGGTCATCTCTGTAGAGTGTGCAGTAAGCAAACAATCTGGGTTATTTGCAAGGGTTGCCGTGGAGAAATTGGAAACTGCGGCCTACACAATCTAGAACTGACCCAGCTTATTTTCTATGGTTCTTCTCTCCCTCAGCGAGTCTACCCTGAACCGCTACGAGGTGCATCCTGTTGGGACATTTCCAAGCGGTATGAGCCCTGAGTTCAGGACTACCGTCAAGGTAAACAAGGAGTTGGGACAGGGTTTGTACATCAGCAGTAACACAGGGAAGGGTGGCCAATTTTCTCTCCAGCAGGGCTCCTCTGCAGAATATCACGCTTTATCTTTAGCGGCATTAGTAAGGCAGCGGCGAACCTGTGCCTGGGCTGGACCACCTCAGATCGCAGGTAGCGGCTCCTCTATGTAAAATATACAAGCATATCTCTGTGTAGAAGTCTAGCTTACCAGGGGCCCAAGTCTCGAAGCTTAATTCAGACTGCAGGACTCACATGACTAAATGCTTCTCCAGCAGACCCAGGCAAATTGAGGTACCAATGCTTTAAGATCAGGGCTGGCCCTCCAGAAGCTTTTGAGCTCCCATTCCCATCAGCCCCCTGGCCAGCATGGCCAATGGCCAGGGACGATCAGAGCCTGATAACAGTTAGAAGGCCACAGGCTCCCCTCTCTTTCTTTTGGGCACCTGGTTCCACAGACACACCTGTTGACTTATTACTGTGACCATCTTTCTTCTCACCACTGCAATGCCTAATAGAAAAAGAAGAAAAGCAACTGGCAAAGGCACTGTTCACTCCTGTGGGTTCAGAGTTTATAGCTCCTGCCCAATCAGATTTTCAAAGTTCAGCTTAGAGAAATCCACAGTTTCAGATTCCAGTTTCCAAAAATGGTGACCCTACATGATTTTTTTTTTTAAGCTTTGTGCAGTTTTTTGCTTCATCTGTTGAACACTCTTCTCATCCTTGTAGGTGCAAAACCTCGGCTGTTACGCGGTGGAGAATCTCTCCCTTGTCATGGACCTGCCTGCCACAGCCTATCAGAACAGTGAATTCCTCTCTGTCACACGCATCATTGCAGATAACGTGAGTCACTAGGCCTTCACCCGCATAAGTGCTTTGGGGCCTCTGTTCTTGCTGTCATTTGGGGTCTTAGGGGGAAATTCCAAATGACACTTTCCTGCTCATGGGGCAGCAAGTTCTCTTGCACAGCCCTGGCAATGCACCACGTATGACATCGGGACAGATTTGGCCCAGAAGGCTGCTGTTGCTGATCTGCTCAGTTTCAAAATCTGCAATCTGGTTTAGAGTGAACACCTACTAACTTGCGGGCAAAGGATGTTCTTGTGCTTGCCATTGGGGCATCTGGTTGGCCACTGTGAGAGCAGGATGCTGGACTAGATAGGCCCCCTTTGGCCTGATCCAGCGACCAGACTCTCCCTATGCTCATGGCTCACAAGGTCCTCTTATACAAGTCCTTAGATCTAAATGTTCTAAAAGCCCAGCTTTAGTAAAGTTTAAGTTGCAAACAGCTCTGTCCACTTCCTCTAGCACTTTGGGTTCAGCAGGTTCTTCTTAATTTTAGCTGGCGGCTGAGCAGGGCTTTTTTTCAGCCAGAATTTGCCAGAACTCAGTTCCAGCATCTCTTAGGTGTGTGCCATTGCCATTATAAGAGAACAAAGACAGTGTTCATGATGAGTTCCGGCACCTCTTTTTCTAGAAAAATAGCACTGCTGCTGGATATTGTTTAGGACATCTTAATGCCAAAAGAGATGAGAGAGAGCGCGCAAAATGGGAGGGGCCAAACATGAATAAGGGGAGGGAAGGAAATCCATTCCTGTTCAGAGGCCTGGGTGTCTGCTGCAGGTGCTCAAGGAAAAGCTTAGAAGGACCCCTCACACATATTGATGTCCCTTTCCATTTTCCAGGTGACCTGCACCATGCAAAATCTGACAGAGGCCTCTCAAAATGCAGCTGGTGGTGTGATGATCCCTGTTCATCCGGAAGAACTTGTGCACGTAGAGAAACTGGTGAGTGCCCTGTTAGCAGACCTTGCAGCTTGGGTGAATTTGAGTGAAGTAATCACTTACAGTTTCTGGAGTTTAAAGGCTTTATTCATGCGGGAACTATGTACAGTATGAGTGGAGATGAGGGAGAAAATAACAGATATCTTGTCTGGAAAGAATAGCAAACAAAATGGCTCAGCTTCTATGGGTAAAGTTAACATAGACATAAAAACTAAAAACAAGTGCTGGCCAGATTGCAACACAAAGAGTGCCCTCATGTGGTTTAAAGTAACTCAAGAGAAGGAGATGTATTTGCCTTATTCCAACTTTCCCTCCTTTGGCTTCCTCACTGTGACTCAGGCAGCTTCAAGACTGGATGTCTCTATCATAACCCAGCTGTTGCTTTTCCATTGCAAGCATTTTAGTGCAAACTAAAAGGTCAGTTAAAATTGTTTTAACACAATTTAAAATGGTACCATCCAGAAAGGTAAATAGGGAGAGTCCCAAGTGGATATATTTTTCCCCATTTTATGTTGCACCCATGATTGCAGAGTGTGTACACTAATTTTTGTTTGTTTGTTTGTTTAGATTTCCTAAGAACCATTCACCCGCTTGATTGTTTTTTTAAAAAACCTTCATAGCGATTTAGAAAGAAAATAAAGCAATACAATTACAGTGGTACCTCGCAAGACGAATGCCTCGCAAGACAAAAAACTCGCTAGACGAAAGTGTTTTTTGTTTTTTGAGCTGCTTCGCAAGACGATTTTCCCTGTGGGCTTGCTTCGCAAGACGGAAATGTCTTGCAAGTTTGTTTCCTTTTTCTTAACACCGTTAATACAGTTGCGACTTGACTTCGAGGAGCAACTCATAGAACGTGGTGTGGTAGCCTTTTTTGAGGTTTTTAAAGACTTTGGTGATTTTTGAAGCTTTTCCAAAACTTTCCCGACACCGTGCTTCGCAAGACGAAAAAAATCGCAAGACGACAAAACTCGCGGAACAAATTAATTTCGTCTTGCGAGGCACCACTGTATTAGTAAAAAGAGTTAACAGCATATATTTAGAAACATATATGCTTCAGCAATAAACTGAAACAGATTAAAACCCCTAAACCTCCCACATGTACACCATGTTCCCAATGAAAACCACCCCATAACCACCCCATTTGGGCCTGGTGAAAGGGGGGGGGCCTGCCCAACCCCTCCACTTCATAATGTTATTTGGATTATTGAAGCCCGAGAGTAGAGTTGATCTTCCAGTTGCCGGCTTAAAGGAGAACAGCAAGGATTGGGTGCTACTAATGGGGTGCTAGCCAGGGTTGTGCAGTGCTTACGATGTTGGACTAGTAAATCCCTACTCAGCCATGAGGCTCCCTGGATAACTCGGAACACAGTCACTGCCTCTCAGCCTATCGTACCTCACAGGGTTGTTGTGGGGATTAGATGAGGAGGGCTGGAGAACGTTGATCTCCTTGGAGGAAAAAAGGCGGGGCTTAAATATGCAACATATAATTATATAAATAATGCACCCACATCTGGAAACAGCCTAGATTGTGAAGCGGGGTGGGGAAGGTTGGGGAAAGGTACAGAAAATGCCTAGAATTCTGCCCATGCTTTGATTGGGTCTTGGGTGGAAAGCAGAGGCAAAGAAAGGGCTGAGGTCTCTCTTTCCTGCCAGAATTGCACCAATGCCAGATGCCAAGTGGTGAAGTGTGAGCTGCCGCACATCGAGAGGAACGCGGAAGTCTCCATCCACCTGCTGAGAGCAGTTCACAATGAGTTTTTCAGGAGGGTGAGTGCAGACTTTGTGCCCTCTCTCATGCATGCACCCTTGAGTTCCTGCTTAAGAGGGTCATATATGCCCTTCGCTGGTAGCATGGAAAAATCTGGACTGAATGTGTTTGTGTGCATAGGTAGGTAGGTACGTGCAGGCTGTCATGATGATGACTGTGTGGACCTTGCATAAAACCTGCACGTCCAATTTGTGCAGATAGAGCAGTAAACTCCCCTGGAAGCACCTGCTGAGTTTGAAAGTCACCAGAATAGAATTCCTTCTTTGCTTTGTTCAAGAATGCAACAGGGTTACAGAGCATCTGGTAGCAGGTTAAGGTGGTGATGGTGGTTGTGGAATGCAACCCCTAAAAAGGCAAACTTGTCTCTGTTCAGTAAAGCAGTGTTGTGCTGAGAATCCAGGGGCATCACAGCCTCTCAGTCTTACAGGATTGTTGTGGGGTAAGGGAGAGCCATATGCACCACACTCCCTTGGAGGATAAATGCAAGAATGAAATAAACAAAAATAAATGCACTTGCCAGCTGGGAACCTGCCTTGGGAGGCTTTTCTTCTTCTTCTAAACACCCCTCTTGTCTCTTTCTTTCCATTTCGTGGACGAAGGCTAAATTCAAGACTGTGAAGGTTGTGAGCAGGTTCACACTGACCAGCCCGGAAGAGGAGAACCTTCTTCTGCTGCCAGAGGCTGCCCATCAACGGGAGGTAGGAGTGGCTGCTGGCCTTTCCAAGGCTGGGGTGGTGGTGGTTCCCCTTAAGAATGAATGGAAATTGTTTACTTTGTTATGCAAGCGAATGATTTCCAGGGAATGCATTGTGTATGGTAAGCAGGACCTGTCTGTATGTATTCACAATCGCAATAAGGCATGAAAGCTTGGGGTGGGTGTGTTTTTTAAAAAGAGTTGAGTGCGTTGGGCTTAGGCTTAAGAGAAATCAGTGAGAAACCCCTGTTCATGTCAACTGCTCTCTTGCTGTCTTTGTGATGCCCTTTCAGTCTGAACTAACCAGCTTTGAATCCTCATCACGCCTCCCAACACTACCAGTGGGCTTTTTGCTGGGATTCAGCACATTTCTCCCCTTTCTCATTGCAGACCATCTTGGAGATCATCCAGACCAATCTGGTCCCTCTTTCACTCTGGATCCTGATTGGCAGCATCATTGGGGGGCTCCTGCTGCTGGCTCTGATTATCATCTGTTTGTGGAGGGTAAGAGTCATGCTAACGGCCTCAGGTTGCACCTGCACAGGGAGACAAGCTTAAACAGGTCACAGGACTAGTTTGGCCTTCTAGCTTATGGATTCTTAATTGCTGAGACACAACGCCAAAAGAAGAATCACATGGCACAAAATTCCTGGGACTGTCGACACAGGCAGGGGGGAAGTGCCTTTCCGCAGCCTGGTGCCCTCCAGATGTTTTTTGGACTACAACTCCCAGGAATCGTGGTCTGAAACATTTGGAGGTCACCATAGGGACATCAGAAGAGCCTGTCCAGCATCCTGTTCTCACAGTGGCCAACCAGGTGCAATACTCTTCCCTGCTGGTTTCCAGCAACTGGTATTCAGAAGCCTTGCTGCCTCCAACTGTGGAGGCAGAGGATAGCCATTGCAGCTAGTAAGTGGCGAAGGGAACCCTACATAAAGAGAACCTAGCAGGCCAGGGAGAGATTTCAATTCTAGCTTTCTGTTTATTCTCAGGGGTTCATGAAAACTGAGATTGACACAAGAGTATATGCAGCTACATCCAATTCCCCACCTGTGGTTGAAAGCGGTACAGTCCTAGGCATTCTCTACCTCCTGATTTTTCTCTATAGGGACAGATCAGCACAAAGATTCATCTCAGGGAAATTTTGAGGCTTGTTTTCAGGTGGGATTCAGTCCCATGCTGGAAAATTCAGGCTGCACAACTATAGCTGATTTGGAGCTCTTCCACAACAAGCCCTCTTTCCCAGAACTGTTTGGCCCTTTTGCAGTATGGAAAGGGATGGGAATGCACAGGAAAATGTGAGGTGCTGCTTGCTTTGACTCAGAGCCATCTAACCTCCCTGCAGACAAATCAGGATGAATGCTCAATATACAGGTTGTCTGGAAGCACCGAGAGAGCCCTGAACCCAAGACATGAGAAGACTAGGTTCCCTGTAGCTGTAAAACATCACATCCTTTTCTCATGCTAATCTATATATTCTTCTTCTGCTCCCTTTTCCTTTACCACCTCCTCCAGCTTGGATTTTTTGCACACAAAAAACCTGGAGAAGAAGAGAAAGAGGAACAATAAAACATGGAATTTGAGCAAGGACTCTTCACACAGGAAAAATGAGCAAGGGGAGGAAATCCAGTGGGTGCTGTTGCTGCTGCCCTCCCCTTTGACTCCCTGTAAAAAGTGACAGAAGATCCAGCAGTTCTGAAGACAATCTGCAATCTCACAGCATCATTTTGCTTTTGGGAAGCTAAGAAAATACAACAACCTCCCCCCCGTGTTGGAGCCACAATTAAACACACCAATACACACACACTTTGGTCTTCAGACTGGGGTGGGTAAACATCCAATTTTGCCTCCCATGTTCAGGGAGTGGAGAAAAGTAGGTTTGTGCAGGCCAGCTTAGGCCCAACCCTTCAAGGTGACAAGACAACAGAGAAATGGGTTTCAAAGAGGGCTCCTTCCCCTGTGAAAAGCGACTTAAGTGCTCAAATCATGTGGAGCGTCTCTATTCCAGATACTTTCTTCATGCATTGCAGGAGGTCTCCTTTCCAACTCTACAATTCTATGGTTTCCATCAGTCCTTTGGGATGCAGCAGCTTGTCTTGACAAGGTGGAGCGTCTCTCGTCTCCCTCGAACAGAACTTTGTTGCATAGAAGCAAAAAAGAATTTTACATAGTCCTGTATTCCTGCTACCACACTGAAGTGAGCGCTACCTTTTGGGTGGGTTGGTGGCTGGTACAGAGCAGCCTCATTCATTTGGAATTGCAAAAGGGTAGGCCCTTTGGTTTGGCAGCTGTGAGCACCACCAGGAAATTGGGGGAATGGTTTGTGCCCGTTGCTTGGCTTGTCTGGATGGAGGATAGAGAGGGGCATGTGCCAGTGGGTGTGGAACCCAGCCTCTTGTAAAAAAGGTAAAATTTGCATACATTGCTCCGCCCACTTTTGTGCCTGGCCCTACCCACCACTAGCAGGTGGCTTCCAGAAGGGGATTTGGCCCTTGGCCTGAAAAAAGGTCCCCAATGCCCTCCTTCCCTGTGTGCAACCAGAGGCTTACAAACTGCCTTTCTGTACCACCAAGTGCATGGAGCTGCCTTCTGGCCACAAATGGGAGAATGAGATAAGAACATAAGAACCCTGCTGGATAGCCTATCTAGCCCAGCCTCTTGGTGGTCAACCAGATGCCCCAAAGGGAAACCCATGAGCAGGAGGACCCAAGCACAAGAGTCCTCCCCTCCTATGGTTTCCAGCAACTGGTATTCAGAAGCATTGCTGCCTCCCAACTCTGGTGGCAGAGCAGAGCCATCATGGCTAGCAGCCACCGACAGTCTCCTCCTCCATGAGCTGATCTAATCCTCTTTTAAAGTCATCCAAGTTGGTGGCCATCACTGCCTCCTGTGGGAGAGAGTTCCATAGTTTTAAGTATGTGCTGTGTGAAGTTGTGGGCTTACCCAATGCCAATGGATGTGCCAACCTCCCACTGTGAGCCAGGATTGCAATGAAAGGTGGTGGGGTGGGAGAAAGTCGAGGTGTGTGCTGTTCTCCCTACTGCTGTCTTTTTTCGAACTTGTTTGTGCAATGGAAATGTAAGGATTTGCTTGTCCAGCCCCAGCAACTGCCTCACCAGAAGCCCATCGTGAAGCTCACAAAGATGAGAGCAGGGAGGCAACTGGTTTCCCTCTTGGGCCAAATAATTTTGCACCGCCATTAAGCTGCATGAATTGAATAAACAAGTTTCTCTCCCCCTACAGTATTCATTCTGCTTTGTCGGTCATGAAGAGGGACACAGAGGCACTGCACCTCTCTGCTGGTCCCATGAGAAGTTCAGTCTTTGTTAAGGTACAAATATAGGAGGAATCACCATGGATGCCAGTGCCGCTGAAATCTCAAGAGCCATGATCCAGGGAAGGGAAAGAGGCATGCAGAGCCCTGTTGTCCTGATTGTGGGGAAGCCTGTTGGGCCAACCCCGCTCCCTGCTGTCTATAGGGTCTGGGGATTTTACCAGGCATTGCCCACATACTCTCATGCCTTTCGTTTGCAACCTTAATAAGGGCCAGATGCTTGCTTTAAATTTTTTTAGAAGGCAGCTGTGATTCTCAGGAAGAGTTCTATGCCCTGCACCAAGTTGTTTTGGGGTGGGGTGATCACAGAATTCCCCCAACGCTGTAAAAACTTTGGTTTAGTGTTTTGCATCTATGTCAGTAGCTCCAAATGCGAATCCAAATTTAATGATTTAGGACAAACTAAAATAACTCAAGCAATGAGCCAGCTTTCAGGTTCCTCAGAATGCTTCTTCAGGCTGATGCTAGCCACAAGGGGGAACATTCCTGGAAATGGTTGAAGGGGTGGAGCCCAAGGTGACAGTGTGTAAATTAGTTAGGAGAAGTTAGTTTAAGCTAGTTAGGAGGAGGAAGAGAACTTACGCAAATGAGGTTAGACAGCCAAGTGCAAAAGATGTCGCTGGTGGCCCCAAAGCCTGGGGAAGATTTCTGGGATGCTCAAAAGCTTGCTCACACCTTCATCAGTTTCCAGTTGTTCCTAATAAGAAGTGTTCATCCTACATGTGCGCTTGGGTTTTTATTTTCATGAAGCCTGGGAAACTACCTGTGCCCCACCCCAATGTTTTAGAGAATAATTCAACTGTCCAGGAAAACAACCTAGGAATGGACCTTTGACTATGTAAAATGATAGGGCCTTAGCAGGTGAGGATGTACATGCCCTCCAGCCATTAGGAAAAACTATGAAATTTGGTTACTTTGACATTTATTTAGTTGGTCCTAATAAAGGCTTTTTCCCAACTATATCTTTGGATTTCTCTCTCTAATATATTTGCAATCTGTATGTCCAAATATGAAGCAGCCCCACCCACCTGTCCTGCACATTCTCAGATGGTCCCTTTCCCCCTGCACACCCCCCCAACCAAGAACTCTATCGTTGCTTTTCTTATTAAAGACTTTTATTCAACTTTTGATAGCAAACAGAAGACACTAAGTTTGAAACGGAGTGTACCTGGTACACCGTTACAGCGATGAAGTGGCCACGAAGGGGGTGGGGGGTGGGGTTTGCCTTGTGTTTTCCCCTTTCATTCCTTGGGACATGACTCTGCCATATCCCCCACCCCACCCTTCTCCTACCAAAGCTCCTTTCTGGTTCCAGGCGGAAGGTGCTTTGGGGGAGGGGGTCAGTGTGCAGCACCAAAGTTTAGAGCTCAGACATGATTCAGAAGATAAAAAGACTGTAGATGGAGGTTGGAGGGGGGGGAAGAGTTGCAAGGGAGGGAAAAAACAACACTTAAAAGGAAACCAACAACAACAAAAAGTGATTCTTTATGGTATATCGAGCGATGGCATTCTCATTTAAAATACTGAAGAACAGCTTGGAAAAAGAAGACACAGTCTCTGATCCGGAGGATAAACTACACGTGGTCCATTTGATAAACAAGGCAGCAAAAAATGGGTCTTAAGTAGCAGGTGGGTTGAATGCTGGTTCAGGCAAACCCAAGGGGGCCGAGGGGCTGAAAGCAGGAAAAAGGTAGCGTTCGCTCGAGGGGCATCAAATACTTGCCTTCATGGAATGCAGGGCTCCCCTGTGCTGCTTCTCCACCCCTCTCTTTCTGTGAGCCAAATTGCCCCCCACTCTTTTCCAGAAAAAAACAGAACCGAGATAAAGGAAGTCAGGAATTCTGTCAACCTAATCCAAAGAAAATCCACCCAAAATTCAACAAAATCCTAGGTTGCAGGAAAGACAGGCAGAGTCGATTAAACAGACTCAGTTTCGGGAGACACTGGAAAGGCCTGGGTCCCTGTGCAAATCCTCTTGACTCGCCTCTCTCTCTTCCCCTCGCCCCATCTGAAATAGCTTCCTAGCCAACACCTAGCTGTCTTCTCCTTGAGCCTCCCCCCCCCACCCTGCCGCAAAAAATAAGACTGGGACAGGCGGGCAAGGACAATGTTCGCCCCTCCCTCTGCAAAGCCATGGGAATCGTAATGGTGGACGCCTCTCTTGCTACCCAAGGAAAGGACTCGCACAGGTTCTCAGGGACCCTCCCGACCCCTCGCTGAAAGGTGAAACTGATCACTCCGGAAACTAAGGGTTAAAGAGATCGTCTGGATGCTGCGGCGACCCAGCAGGAGATGCTAGCGGTTTCTGAAAGATGGCCGCCCTCGCCATGGGGTGGGGACACAGCTCCACCGGCTGCACCCGTTTGCTCTCCCTCTCCCTCCTTGCTACTCGGTTCTGTAGTTTTATAGGTATCATACAATTTACAAACTGTAGTAAGGGATACTACAGGCCTGAACTGCCCCCTCCCTCGCCCCCCCCACCGTGTCAGGGAGGCTTCAGAAAGTCCATCGGTCGTGTAGGTGGCTTGTGCTGCTAAAGGAGTTGCTTGTGGAGGCCTCCGCGTTGGGTGCTTGCCGAGTGGAGTCCTCGCCGTTCAAGCTCTTCCGGCACACGGGACACGTGTCGTGCTGGGGAGGGAAAATGCACGCATGTGAGTGAGTGGGGGGGCTGTTGGGAACAGTTATGCCTCCCAGAGCCGATACCTGAGATTGGGGCGAGCACATTAAGGAAAGGGCACTGCCGAAAGCCTTCCTCTGAAGAAGAGCAATGCGCAAGGGCAGCCATCTCCCACCTCGCTGTCTCCTAGAACCAGCAGGGGCTTGAAGAGGAAAGAGCAGCAATAGCTTCCATGTAGGAGAAGCCTCAGGTGGTGTGCACGTATCCATCAGATCAGGGGTACATAAACTGGGGGCGGGGGGCTGGTCTCACTGCTGCTGCAACTACTCCATAGGCATGGATGTGGGAACAGCAGCTGAGATGATTGTAGTGTGTGTGTCTGGGGCACCTTAGGAGCTGCTGTATGCTGCGTTTGTGATAATAACTATCAGATCCTTGGCTGCGGGGTGCTCAGGACACCTAGAGACTCCTGTCTGGGTAGCTGGGCTACTTGAGACCCAGGCCCAAACCCCGTTAGGTGGCATGTGGCTCTCTGCCAACAGCCTTTGGCAAAATCTGCCAATTCAGAGCCTCAGGACAGCCAAAAGGTCCGGCCTCAGATACTCTGGTGCCCGAGGGTAAGTCAGTCACACCCTAGTGCTCTTGTTACAG